AAAAACCCAACTCGTGGCTCTGGTGGTGTGTTCTGTTCTATGTCAGCTATGTATTTCACTAGCTATGCAATTTCTTTCCTTCTTTCTTTGGGTTTTGTGTGCTATTCTTTCTCTAGCTTCCTGTGATGAAAACTTTGATGACTGATTTTTTAACCTTCTTTCTTTTCCAATATAAACATATAGATTTTCCTCTGAGCTCTGCATTTATGTATTGTACTCACATTGTTGTCATTTTCAAAATATTTCTAATCTCAATTAGAAATATCCAGTGTGAAAATATTTGTCTTTTTTATTTCCTTTTTGATCTAGAGGTCTTTTAGCAACATTTTTATTTAATTTCCAACCATTTGGGGTATTTTCTAGTTATCTTTTTATTGAGTCTAGGTTAATTCCTCTATGGTCAGAAAACATACTCATTGTGCACAGTTTCAACCGTTTGAGATTTTTGGTGCTGGGAAATGTTTCTGTGTCAGTGTTTCCTGTGCAGGGAAGGGGGATGCATTTTGTTATAGTTACTGATTTTAGTGTTCTGTAGCTGTGGTCTAGATCAAATCAGGTAGCATGTTGTTCAAATCTCCTTTATGTTTAATGAAATTTTACCTGGTGCTCTATTAGTAACTGAAAGAGTTGTGTTACAGTTACCATCTGTGATGATGGATTTTGCAATTCTATCATTGAATGAATACAATGTAAGATTATATGTTGCATCATGTAAAATGCATCTCACTATCTCTACTGATACTTCTTACCCTGGAATCTGCTTTGTCTGGTGGTAATACATGTTCTTCTGCATAGGGTTTGTGTGGGATAATGTTTTCTGTTTTTACTTTTAATATATTTACTTTCTTATCTATTTCAGTGACTTGTTGCTTTAATTTTTTCTCTGCAGTACTGAGGATTGGTTGTGGGGGTTGAACTCGGTCGCTCTCCCACTCACTACCCTTCCAGTCCTTTTGACATTTTATTTTGAGACAAAGTCTCTGTGAGTGACCCAGGCTGGTTTCAAACTTGTGATCTCCCTGCCATGGCTAATGGAAATGTGTGTTTCTTTTTGTACTTTTTAAACATGGATACATTTTAATTGTTGTATCCAGTGTGAAAATATTTGTCTTTTTTATTTAGAGTATATAGTTTATATACTATCAATATACTGTTTGTTGTCCTTTAGAACTTACAGAGAATTCATTTCAGGATGCCCTCAGGATACTAAAATCCACATTCCCAAGTCCTTTATGTAAAATGGCATAGTGTTTATACATAACCTGTAATCCTCCTGTATATGACATCTTTAGATTACTTAAAATACTCAATTCAAGATAAACATTATCTAAATGGTTGCTATCCTGTGTTGTTTAAGGAAATAATGATGAGAAATGTCTACATTTTCAGTGCAAATGCATTTTTTATAATTTTTGATCCAAGCTTGGCTGAATCTGCTGATTGAGAACTCAAGCATGCAGGCTGCCAGCTGTATTTACCCATACAAATGGACTTAGTTGTACCTTATTATTTATTTACCTTTTGTTCACTGTGACTTTGTTTCTTCTTTTTTGTCTTCTTTTGAGTCAATCAACTAGTTTTAATTTATTCTGTATTATCAGCTTTTTTTTATTTTTATTTTTTATTTTTTTTTAAATTTTATTTAAGGAGAAAAGAAAAAAAAAGCGGGGAAAGGGTACAAGTTATACAGATTTACAGAAAAAAAAATGAACAGTAGGAAATCACTAGTTAGTGGATTACATATTGTCATCTTAGATATAATTGTTCAAGTCACAAAATTAAAGCTTGTAAAGTGGACATTCCATCAATGATACTGCAAACAGTTCTGTTCATTGATCCAATAAAACTCTGTGATATCATTTTCTATCTTATATCAGTTTTTAATGTTAATTTTAAAGCAATTCCCTTAAAGATTTCACTCTGCATCCCTGATCTATTGTGTGATAAACTGCTTTTATCACATCCCAAACAAGTGACAAGCCACTTCCACAATGCCATAGCTTAAATTCACTTACCATCGCTCCCAGCCCTAGTACTATTATCATGTGTATTATTTCTCTTTATATAATAGTGATAGCAAGACATTAGTATTTCTTCCAAGCAACCACAATGATTTTCTAGCCCTTCTTTCTGCTCCTGTTTATTTCTTCCTATAGCTTTATGTTTCTATATGGGATCATTTTCATTTTCATTCAACACCAAAACAACTTGCACTAATATTTCTTGTAGTGGTGACTGACCAGAAGTGAATTATATCAGCTTTGGCTTGTTAAAAAATATCTATTTTATCTATATTTGTGAAGGATATATTCACTGGAAATATAATTCTAGGTTAACTTTTTTGTTTTCTTTCTTTCTTTCTTTTTGGTACCAGGGATCAAACTCATGACCTCACACTTGCCAGGCAGGCACTTATGCCTCTGAACTAAATAAATCCCTGGCCCTTACTCTCTCTCTCCCCCCCCCCCCCCGCCCCTCTTTTTTAACTTTTAACTTTTTATCGGTACCAGGGATCGAACTCATGACCGCCTGTTGCAAGGCAGGCGCTTATGCTGCTGACCTAAATCCCCAGCCCCAACTTTTTTATTTTTAAACTCAGTTCTTTTCAAATTTTTAAGTGCATGTTGCAGTACATAAAGAACACATTCATCATGACAAATTGGTTCATTTACACACTGCATCTTAGTCTTCTTTGCTTCCCCCTCTCCTTCTCCTTTCCTGCATTTCCCTTCTCTCTCCAGCCCTATAAATTCAGTTCCTTAAAGTCATCCTGTTGTCTGTTAGTGTCCAGAATTTCATTTGGAAAATAGTTGTGAGTTTTATGGCTGCTGATTTGAAGGCTGTGTGTTTCTTTCTATAGCTGCTTTTCAGAGGTTTTCTTCGTCTTTGATTTCCAACCCTGTAAGATTTGCTGGAGCTTAGATTTAATCCTCACGTCTCTTACTTGATCCAATATCTTAACAAAGGTTCTTAACTCTATTCAAGACCTGACCACTTCTCTCATCACCTCCATTATCAACCCAGAGCAACAGTCGAAGTTGAGTGGCTTCGAGAATGGTTTGAATCAGGCCCCTTCAGCCTCTGGGACCACGTCTCGCCTCCCAGCCTCCCCCCAGCACCTTGCTCTTCTGGTCCTTAAACTTACCTCTGGTCCTGCTCTACTGCAGCCTCTGCACTGGGTGTTTCTCCTGCCCAAGATCCTCTTCCCCCAAATATTTTCTTGCTTAGCTAATTGACTTTACTCCTTCAGGTCCTTTTGCAAATGTTTCCTTCTCAATAAGGTATTTCATGACTCTTTTTAAAGACAACTTTTCCCATTCCCGACACTCTCAGGCTTCTTCACTCCTCACTGGCATTTTTCACAGCACGGAAGTCCTCAGACCACAGAAGTGGTAAATTATTTATAGTCTTATTTTTCTTTTCTGTCTTTCCTGCCTCACTGGAGGACAGGGATTTTTATCTGTTTTGCTCACTAATGTATCTCAAGTGCCTGGAAGCTTGCAGCCCAGAGGAGTCTTTTTAAAAATTTGCTGGCGAATGCTCAATGTGAGGGCAGCAGATGTGCGCACTCACTGTCAGAGGACAGAAGTGAAACCTGGCTCCTGCTCGCGGAAGTCAAGGATGCACATATCTGACCCGGACTGGGAACCCTGCTGCAAAATTCCCACTGAAAGCCATCAGCCCCTGACACACACCTTGTAGGCCTCCATACTTTCATGAAAGCCCCTGGGGCAGCTTGTACAAGCGCAACCTGATTAAAACAAAGTACTCGAAGATGCAAATGACTGATGGGCCTGAGGGCCTTAATGAATCAACTTGTTCACTTTCTGGATTTACAAGTGAAAAAAGCAACCTCCCAGGGAAGAGAGCATGGGACTTTCCAGGGCGTAGCTCCTGATTAAACTCTTGGATATGCCCTGGATAGGTGGATTCTTCGGTAATGTCATCTTCCATTTACCTCCGGTTTCCCATCTGAAAAACAACGGTAGTAATTCTTGTCCTATCCACTTCAGTGACTAAAAAAATACCAATAGATTAAAGAAATGAGATTTGAACATGATCGTGGGGATCATTTAGGGGTTTTTATTTATATTTTTAGGTTATTCTTTACAGTTTAAGGATCACTTTTAATTACACTGTCAGACTGGAATCACAGAGCAACCATGTAACGGGAGAGATCATTAAGCCTGGTTCACAGGAGGACAGAGGTGAAGAAAGGGCAAATTAATGGCAGCGCTGGGAGCTGCAACTCTTTGCTCCACAGGACCCTCCCTGAAGATGCAGCCAGCAGGCCTGTAGCTACAATGTCCGTAGGCTTTGCTTGCCTACCACTAGTTCATGGAAGCTCACTGCCACGTGAGACAGTTCATTCGCTGGTAGCAGTGGCTTTGGTAGTTGGCAGCTTCTGTGTTGGTACGGAGTGTAACACTGGGTGGGGGTGACTCAGGGTTTGCCATCTTAAGAGTGTGTTTAGGAGGAGAGGCATTTGCAGGAGCCCCCTGCCTTCCTGAAGTGTGAGTCTTCTGCCTCTGCACCTGAAGCTTGCATGCTGCGCCCTGGATTGATCTTACCTGACCCCTCTGCCAGTCCGGGGCTGGGAGCCGGGTGCACAGATTCCCAGCCTGGAGCCGGGCACAGGATGAGCCCTTGTCCAACCCCCTCCGGGGACCTCTCTCCTGCTGTCAGAAGCCGCACCAGGGAGATTCACAACCAACAGGGCGGCCTCGGACTAGATGTGGCCTTGCAGAAGTAAGGGGCCCAGTGTCTAACCAGATACTGGAAATCGGCTCTCAGGTCTTCCCTGGAGCCCTTCCGGGCCCAGACAAGGATGATCTGGGTGGTCCCGCGGGTCCCTTCCTGGTCGCCTGGCCAAGAGCAAAGACTCCAGAACCCCCTAGCGAGGGGGCCCTAGCTTGAGATTTTCCAGACCGTAGGGGTGGGGTTGGGGGGTAAATCTTTAACTAGCCAGCCGTGGGCCGCCAGGAGCTTTTCCGGATGGATGGTCGCCTGGGACCCGGGGGCGGGAGGTGGGGGTAAGGTGTGTGTGGCCAGTCTCGGGCTGCAGGAGAAGGGGAGGATTGGCGAGGAGAGACAGGAGACTGGGGCGGAGCCAAGGCCGTGCTCAGAGCGGGACATGGAGGAACGTGGATCTCCCGACGGGTAAGCCGAGCTTCTGGAAGGTCGGGGAGCCCTGCACGCCGCTCGCAGTGGCAGCGGGGCAGGGACACGGTATGGCGCCTCCTATTGCTACCACAGAGACCCTGCACGGAGCCTGGAGCAAGGGCCAGAGGGGCAGGAAACGCCCATCCAAGTGGTGCTCAGGTGGGCAGAAAGGGGTTGGAGAAACCCGGGCGAGGATGGGACCGATGGCGACGTCAGGCGGGATCATCTGGCCTTCGCTTGGATCCCAGGGTGCGCCCCATGAGCAAGGCTGAGCTGCGTCGAGGGGAGCAGAGCGCACTGCACTGCTCGGGGACCCGCACTTTGCAGGTGAGGAACTCGCACCTCCCCAACAGCCCAAGCAGAGGTCGCCGGGACCCTCAAGCGTCCCTCCCTTAGGCTCCTCCCTCCCCCAACCCGCCCGGCCTTCCCTTCGTGCCCCGCCCCCCGCCGCTCCCCAGGTGAGCCCCCCGGGCGGCGGCCCCGACGTGGCGTTCCGCTTCGGCGCCGTGCTGGACGGGGCGCGCACGCAGGAGGACGTGTTCCGGGCGTGCGGCGTGCGGCGCCTGGGCGAGCTGGCCCTGCGCGGGTGAGTGGGGCGGGCTCCGCCCGGGTCGCGCCCAGCCCAGCCCAGCCCAGCCCAGCCCAGCGCAGCCGCCCTGGTCCCACCGCGCCCCTGCCGCCCTCAGCTTCTCCTGCACCGTCTTCACTTTCGGCCAGACCGGCTCCGGGAAGACCTACACGCTGACCGGACCTCCTCCCCAGGTGGGCCGGGCACCAGCGACCCCCTTGCCAGGGTCCCCGCAAATGATGGGCTTCTTTTATTTTCCGGCCACGACGCTGAGGCTCCAAGGAAAGGCACTCACACAGTTTGGCGCCTTACTAGCTATTAGTTTCTTCCTCTAAATGGAAGTGACTACACTGACAGTGAGGATTAAATGAGATATTTATATGGGACATTGGCACGGTTCCTGGCGTGCTGTAAGTGCCCCAAATAGAGGGTAATTTATAACACTGCTACTGCAGCGGCCTACACGGCAGCAGGCCCAGCTAACTTCGTCTTCAGGGGGAGGGGGTGCCTGTGCCCCCCAGCTTGGCTGGCATCATGCAGAGGACCTTCGCCTGGCTGTTGGACCGCGTGCAGCACCTGGGTGCCCAGGTCACCCTGCGCGCCTCCTACCTGGAGATCTACAATGAGCAGGTAAGGGGTGGAGGAGGAGGGCGGGCCCCTGAAGTGCGGGGGCAGGCTGGAGGGCCAAAGCGGAGGTGGAGATCCTTGTCCAGAAGGCCTAGGGCTAGATGGAGCTGGATTCAGAGCGAGTCTTTACCTGCACCTCCTCCTCCAGGTTCGGGACTTGCTGAGTGCCGGGTCTCCCCGGCCCCTCCCTGTTCGCTGGAACAAGACTCGGGGCTTCTATGTGGAGCAGCTGCGGGTGGTGGAAATTGGGGGTCTGGAGGCCCTGATGGAACTTCTGCAGATGGGTGCGGCTCCTTCAGGGAAGCTGTGGGGTGTGGGTGCCCTCACTGACTGAGGCCTGGAGCCCAGGAAGGAGCTGGGGCTTCACAAATGTCTTGGTGAAGAACTGGCAAACGTGCAATTTAAAGACAGGGCCCACGGCTGCTGGCCTCAGTCCCCAGCCTGTCTCCAGGGTTGGCCACTTGTGCCCTCTGAGCCAGCTTTTTTTGGTTCCATGTCACCTCCCACCCCGCCACTTTCTTTGTCAGCTCCAAGTTCCTCCCTTCCAACCCCTCTCTGTGCTTCAGGCAGGCCACTTATCTTTTGTCTCCTGATGCCCTGATGCCCTGAGGGCAAAGGTCATACCTCTGAGCGCACCCTATAAACCCCTTCCCTTCCAGCCTTACTCATTCCTCCAGTTTACTGAGCAGCTGCGGCTCTGGATTCTGTGCTGCTGCTCCTCTCAGCGGATCCCCTGCCTCAGTTTTCTCCCTCTTCCCACATGGCAACAGGAGAGATGTTTAGGAGAGAGAATCTGGCTGTCTTGTGCTGCCCTCTGCCCGTCACCCTGGCATCTGACTTGTAGACCTGCCAAGTCAACACTACCTCCTGTCTCTGGGCTTCTGCTCTGCCACCTCTCCACCCCCCCCACCCCTCACCTCTACCCCCCTACTCTCCTACCCCCAACCCCCACCACACCCAGCCCCCACTCATCCCCCACTCCACCCCCCCATCCAGCCCCCACCCCCCGGCCCCCAAGCCTTTGCTCCCTTTTCATTTCACAGTGCTGCAGCTCCTGATGTTTCCCTCCAGGTCTCAGCAGGAGGAGGAGCTCTGCTCACACTCTCAACCAGGCCTCCAGCCGCAGCCATGCACTGCTCACGCTGTACATCAGCCGCCCCAGGGTGAGTGCCCAGTGCCACCCAGCAAGGGTCTGCTGCCGCTGGGAACTCTTGACTTTGTGACTGCAGTGGGGACAGTCCTTCCCAAGTCCCCATCAAGCCCTGTGCCCCAGCCGCAGAAGAAGTCTCCTTCGGACCCAGGGGAGTTCCCTGCTGCTGGGAAGCTGTGCTTTGTGGACCTGGCTGGCAGTGAGAAGGTGGCGACCACAGGATCCCGTGGGGAGCTGATGCTTGAGGCCAACAGCATCAACCGCAGCCTGCTGGCCCTGAGTAAGACCTGAAACAACACATCAGGTTCCTGCAGCCCTGTGCCTGACCTGTAGCTGACCACAGCAGGGCCCAGGGGCACTGCAGTGTGTAGGTGATGGCAGTGGTCCAGGAGCCACAGGCCTCATCTGACCCTGACTCAGCTGCTGCCCTCCCATCCCCATGCAGCACACTGCCACTCCTTCACATGCTGTAAGTTTCATCCTAACTCAGGAGGTAGGAACACCACTGCAGAGAGGGACCTCTCACGCACGACATTCAGCCTGTCCCCCTGTCCTTGGGAAGACTGAGGCCCAGAACGGAGAAGGGCAGGGACCTGGGTTCCACCCCAGATTATCAGACTGAGATCTGAAGATCTGTGTCAGGCGAGGGTGCTGCTCCTTTCCATTGAGCCATTGGTTAGAAGTTCCCTAAGCCCCTGCTCAGTGCCAGGCCTTGCACTAGACATAGGGGTTGGGGTGGACAGGATCAGCTGTGCCCCCTGAAGATGCTGAGGCGGGTGGTGAACACCAGTGAGTGGGTGAGGCGAGCATGCAGACAGACAGGTGTAGAAGAGTCACCTGGACCTGATGGCTATGCCAGCCCTGCAGTGTTCCAGCGAGATGGCCTTGGACAAGTGCTATAACCTTCGTGGCCTTGCTGTGTCCCTGCCAGGTCACTGCATCTCCTTGCTGCTGGATCCACAGCGGAAGCAGAACCACATCCCTTTCCGGGACAGCAAGCTCACCAAGTTGCTGGCAGACTCACTAGGGGGTCGGGGAGTCACCCTCATGGTACCCAAGGGGATACTGCAGGGAGGGTATGGTGGCTCTTGAGAGAAGCACTCAGGGGGCCTCCTCCCCAGGTGGCCTGCGTGTCCCCCTCTGCCCAGTGCCTTCCTGAGACTCTCAGCACCCTACGATATGCAAGCCGGGCTCAGCGAGTCACCACTCGGCCACAGGTTCCCAAGGTGAATAGAAGGATATTTGGGCAGGGGACAGAAAAGGGACTGTGGTCTCTGTTCAGAGCCTGAGCTGGCACCATGGTTAAAGTCTGGGACTGTGTCTGAGTTGGGATCTGGGTTGGAATCCTAGAAATGGTGTAACTGTGGTTGAATGGGAGGGGTCGAAGTCCCAGCCAAGGGATGATGTGGTTCCAGCAAGCTGCTGCTGCAGATGGATGCAAGGCCGGCCAGTGAGGCATGAGTTGGATTTTAGATGCCCTTCACTGCGCAGTTCCCACGCAGTTCTCAGCTTGTGCTGCCCTGGTCCTCTTTTCTGCAGCCCCCACGTCTGGAATCCGAAATGCTGCAGCTCCAGGAGGAGAACCGCCTGCAGCGCTGCCAGGTGGACCGAATGGAGCCCAGTGGTATGCACCCCCTGGAGACAAGGCGAGGTAAGGATGGGTTCCCCAGCTTCTGTGGATCCAGCCACCTCTTGCTTTCCCTTAGCCCCCGGGCTCCATGGGGCGCGGGCCTCCTGGGCCCAGCGGAACCTCTATGGGATGCTTCAGGAGTTCATGCTGGAGAACGAGAGGCTCAGGTAGGGCCCAGTACACAGCCTGGGGACTCTGTCCCCACCTATCCCCGCTGCTGTTTGGGCCAAGGTGCCCTGCTTTCCTGCTCCGTGGGTCCCCTTGTCACCTTCCTGGGGAGGCAGTCTCCTGCAGTGAGGAGAGGCTGACTGGCATGCCAGCAGCCCTGCCTCCTGTCACCCCCTGGGGCTCACTGTTCCCAGGAAGGAAATGAATCAGCTGCAGAGGAGCCGGGACCTGGCCTTGCGTGAGCAGCAGGTCCTCACCCAGCAGGTCCAGGAGCTGGAGAGGTGAGCAGGCCTCAGACAGAGGTTGCGGGCCAGGGGGTGTCATGGTGGGTAAGCATCTGACCTCTGAATCCCAACCACCCAGGTCTGCCGTATCCTGGTAGTGTCACCTCGGGCTGACCATTTGGGTCCTCACTCCCTGGGCTTCCCCCTTCTGTGACATGGGGGTCTTGGCTTGCCCACTTCATGGGGTTCTTTAAAGCCTGGAGAGCATGAGTTCGTTTGTGGCCCATGGGAACGGGGCCAAGGCTGGCACAGAGCAGGCGCTGCAGGAGTCACTGTTGGAAAGGGGACCTGGAGACCAGCCTAGGGCTTGGGGGCAGCAGGCATAGGCTCGCTCTTCCTCCCAGGCGCCTCCTCTCTGCCTGCTCCATTTGTCCCGGCCCTGCTGTCACCACACCGTGGCCCTGCTTGATGCTGCCAGCTGCCCCCTGCCACGTGAGTCCCACCACCCAACCTAGAGGGTAACGGGCTGGGATGTCACAGAGCCACTGAAGCACCCTCTTGCAGGCCTTGCCACCTCTCTGCTCCTGGCCATGCTGCCACCTCTGCCCCCTGTGCCAGTCACCCCTGGCCCACTGGGCATGTCCGCAGAGGGAGGGCCACCTGCCACAGGTAGGAAGGGCCAAGGTGGAGGCAAAGGGAAGTGGGGATTTGATGTGAGGCTCAGCAAGGGAAACCAGGGTTTCATGGTGGAAGATACGGGTGAAGGGCTGGCTGGGGCTCCCTCTGCACAGGGTGTAAGATGCCTAGTCTCAGGAAAGGGCATTGAAGGAGCCATAGAGGAAGGTGACCAACATCCCTTCGTGCTGCTTGATATTCTTGGTGCCCTGTGGGGGTAAACATGGAGGGTGTAGCTAACACCGGGGAAGTGGAATACCTAGAGCTCAGGCTGGGGTGTCTGACTGTGGGCTTGGTCTTTCCTGCAGATGCTGGACCCCAAGGCCCCAGGTGACATGCCTCTCTCTGCCCGGCCCCCTCCCTGGGCACCTCCATGCAGCCCTGGCTCTGCCAAATGCCCCACAGAAAGGTGGGCCCAGCCCTGGGACACTGGGTCATGAAAAAAAAGGCCTGGGGACAACTAAGGCTCACCTGCTGTCCCCACTCACCTGGCCCAGGAACCATGGCAGCTGGACACAGACCGCAGTGTTGGCAGAGATGCTGACTGGGGAAGAGGTGGTCCCCTCAGCTCCCCCTCTGCCTGTGGGGCCCCCTAACACGCCACCTGTGCTGCGAGGTGAGGGGGGGGTTGGAGGGGCCCTGGTGGGCTACAGGTTTCCTATCTCTGAATAGGGTGGGCTTGAGCAGTGTTTCTAAGATCTTTGCAGATTCCTACTTTAAAATTCTCTTTTTAGAGTGGATGGGATGGCAGGGGAGGGTGGCAGATGGCGTTTGAGCTTCCAGGTGGACCAGGTTGAAGACGGCTCAGAGTATAGGGCTCAAGTCTCTCTGCTTCTCAGGTGGGGCTGGAGTTGCAAACTTGGCCCAGAGGCTGGAGGCCCTCAGACACCAGATTGGCAGCTCCCTGCGATGTGGCCAGAGCCAGCCACCACCCGGAGAGGGCTCTGGGAACCCGGACCACATCCTTCCTCCCCACTGAAGCCACAGTGGGACCCAAGGCTGCGCATGCCCTGGGCCAGCTCTGTGCTCTCGAGTTCTTTCTCCCAACGTGTGGAGGGACTGGCCACCACCACTGGCCCTGAGCTGGGCAGAGGACACATCTGAGGTGGGAGCCCTGGGTTTGGGCTATTCAGGGAGAAAGGGCCAGCCTTCCCCAGCCTGGAGAAAACAGGCAGTGGGTAACAGAATGCGTGAATAAAGACAGGTGTTAACTCCAATTCTCCGGTGCCTGTCACCTCTGCAAGAGTGGAGGGGACCTTGAGAGGATCCGGAGGAAGCACAGTGTGTGGACCCCTTCTGCTCTGCAGTGTCCTAGGCTCCCCTTTGATTATTAGACAAGTTTTAATCGAGCAACTACAGTGTCCACTGGTGGGCAGGGTGGGGCAGGGTGGTGAGCACCAAAGTGAAAAAGCTCACTGATTGACTTGAGCTGGGACAGGGGAGTGGTCCAGGGTCCCTCACTCTGTGCCAACTGCGTGTGTCCTGGAGGGCTTAAGAGACTCAGCTTTGTGTGCCTCAGGTCTATGAGGGGACCCCAGGAGGCCCCTGCACAGTCCTGGACTGATTCTGGCCTCAAGTCCCTGAAATAGGGGACATAGCTCCTGTTCCTTCCAGGTCCAGTGAGGGTGAAGAGTGTGAGGAACATTATGGTCCTTGGTATGAGTCCCCAACAGGATGATCACAGTTCAGACACCACGTGAGAAACTGGGAATGGCAGGGGCAGTATCTCATGAGAGAAAGCCATCAGGCCAACCTAACTCTCCTAACTATTCGGGGAAACTGAGACCCATTATTCATTTATCCATCCGTCCGTCTGTCCATCCAATACCACTGCCCCTGTCTGCAGATCAGGCTGTTAGGAGTAAGTAAAACCAACAAGAAAGAAGGTGGTTTTGCCCAGGAAGCACACAGACTGGTGGGGATAAACAGTTACAAGTTTGCAAGTGATTTACAAGTGCTTCAGTGGGCAAGTGGGACTTGTGGCTGTACAAGGTGGGAGTCGCCCAAACAGAAATTGTGAAAGGGTCACGGAGGCCTTCAAGGAAGCCCTGAATGCTGGGAGGCAGCAGCCAGCAGCCCAGGAAAGATGGGCAGCTGGGAGGCAAAGGCCCAGACATCTCTGAGGTTCCCAGATCTGTGGGTCTGGGAATCGCAGGGCCTTGCTGGTCACATCCAGAGTTTGGGGCAGTAGAGGGCTCTTGAGGAATCACCGGCTTAGGTTTGCATTTAGATCATGCTGGCCGTGTATGGGAAGGAATATGACTAGGGGTGAGTGAGGGTGCGGGACCACTGAAGAGACGAGAACGGAGACGCCTTGGCCAGGAGTACTTGAGCCAAGGTGGGCAAGCCCCAGACAGGCCAGCTGTCACATGGCCTGGGGGGGGGGATCCGAGGAGGAGGATCAAGTCAGCCATCCCGGAGCTGCTGGAGACTTTGGGGAGCCCAAGGCTGAGGTAGGGAGGTCCCAGCTACATGTAGAGTCTTCCCATCTCTGAAGTAGGCTGGACCTGACCAGCTCAGGGAAGACTTGGTGCTGTGCCATCCGGCATTCTGCAAAGTAGCCTTGAGATTTGTCTCCAAATCATGCAGCAAGGACCAACCGGGCCAGCCAACACAAGCCCCAGGGCCAGGTACTGGGAGGTATGCCTTGTAGTAGGGTGTTAGGGGTGCTCAGAGTGGCCATGGTATTTGTGGAAGGCCAGGAAGAGGCAGCCCAGAACCAGAGGGTGATGCCAGGTACAGGAAGGTGGGTGTGGCAGGGCAGGAGGCAGCTAAACCGGCGGATTAACCACACAGGTTCCAGGCCTGGCTTCATCACGTATCCATGAGTGACTCTGGGCAAGTGATGTCACTGCTCTGAGCCTGAGCTTCTCATGTTCAAATGTGCCCATCGATTGGTTTCCTTTACAGAGCAGTCATGGGGTGAGACTCCCTGAGGTTTAGAAAGCATCTTGCATGTGGCTTTGCCTATTGCAGAGAATTTAGCCAAAAGCAGCTTTCAGTGAACACAGTTTGATGGAATCAAGAGTGCAGAATTCAACACAATCTGTGCTCATTAAACACATAGCCACAGGGAGCCTGCTGTGAGCTCAGAGGTGGTGTTTATGCAGATCCCCAAAGCGGGAGAGAACCCAGTTTACATCATCACATCCCTTTTCCCAGTCGCTTTTGGATGCCACCTCAGTATGGGGGTCTCTGCAGGGCCATAGCTGGGCTCGTTCCACTCCCCGATACTTTTCACACTGCCGCATCCCTGCTTGCTGGGAGGTCCACAGGCTCAGAGCGGGAGGGGGGGCAGCTGGCATGGAGCGTGAGAGTTCTGAGCTGCAGTAAAGTATGGATGGGGACCACCCAGGGGCACTGGCCACTGCTTTTCCTGATGGCCCTGGAGCCTTAGTTCCATGCTCCAGCTCAGCAAAATCTCCACTTCCTTTCCTCGGAGTTATGGGACTCTCAGGCATTGAGTTCCACCAAACTGTCTCACGAGCCATTTGCAGCCCTGTGCATCAGCATCCCCCTTCTAGGGGCCCGGAACCCAGGGGCCACCACAGGACTCCTGAACTGGGTGAAGATTTCAGCTCCATTCAACACTCACTATGAAACTGCCTCTTAAGGATAGTGTTTCTGGAACGCCAAGAGCCATAGCTCTTCTGCAGACTGCTGGAATGTGGGGGCTGAGGCAGTGGCTCTTAAACACTTCAAACTGAAAAGAAGGTCTCTGGTACCTTGGAGTACTGGAATGATAAAAGCTCTTGGAAGTGCTGAAGCATTAGGAATTTCCCAGAAATTCAAATGCCAGCGGGAATTGTAAAATATGGTCTAGAAGTTGGAAGGGATTCTGTGCAATCTTCAGGGGATGGAGTGTGTGCTGAGGGGAAACTCCCAGACTTGGGAAGGCCATCTGTGAGCTGGCCTCCTAGAATGCTGGTGAATCTCAAGCCACCTGGATGTCTAGAGCGCTAGTTGAGTTCTCCAGACTCTTGGGGATGCCAGGTTTTAGCCAGTAGAGTGGGGCACCACAGAAAACATGCACTAGAAGGGTGCAACTAGTTTTGCAAGGAGCGCTCCTGGGGATACTATGTTTACAGGGCTATGAGCTCTTGTCGGGGCCAACCCCCAGAAGGACCTCAGGAGCTGGAGTTCACAGGAGAGTGTGAAGACCGTATGAACCTAAACAGTTCACGGCTTCAGCCCTCCCAGCTCTGAGCCTGCCTTGTTTTCTGTCTGTGTCTTTCTCCCCGGTTGCCTACTGACACGTTTGCCCCAAATTTATATTCAATTCTAGCCCCTTGTGAGATACTTTGTGTTCTCTAAAATGTCTTTTTTTCATTTTCATCTTGGAACCTTGCTGAGGTTCCAAGCGGGCAAGATTGGGTAAATAGGCCCCTTCTTTCCATGAGCCAGGAGCAGTAGCGACCAGAATTTGAGGACAGCTCAGTGCTGTGGTTGGAGACCAGGAGTGGAGGAAAGAAACACAGGATCTAGACCCCTCCACCACAGACCTACTGGGTGAGCCAGACAAGCACCCTGGAGGTCACTGAAGCCCTGGCCACCTAGCAAGGGTGAGCTTTGACTTTGAGGTAGAGACCCCGGAACCTCCATTCTGCGCTGGTCCTGCTGTTTCTCATTCACTGCACAATGACAAGCCCCTCTATAAAGACTGGGCCTCTTCTCACTGGGTATGCATGACACTAGTCTGACCCTGAGCCACTACCCTGTTCTGAAAGAGTTTCCAGCCAGGCAGGGGAAAAGGACAAACAAAGCAACAATTACTGTGCACTAGAAATACAAATAGCGATAATTAGCAAGTTTATCTGGTGCCAAGCACTTGCCACGTGTTAACTCATTTATTTCTCAACTAGTGTTAGTGTTTTCATTTCACAATGAAGAAGGCAAGGCGAGAGGTTGGGAAGTGGCCTGGGGTCACACAGCCAGGAGATGACAGAAGTAGGATTTACACTAGAGTGCTCTGGCTCCTAGAAAGGGCTCTGACCGCCACCCACTGGGACCATAGGGGAGGACAGGTAGAAAAGCAATTTCCCCAAACTCAGGAGCCCATGGGTACAGTGGGGCCCCTCCGCCAAAGTCTCTCCTACCCCACCAGGCTGGATGTAGAGGTGCTTGGATAAAGCAGAGACTTTGCGAGCTCTTTCCCCCCAGGGAGGAAGCTCCACCATCCACAAGACAAAAGAGTTCTTTACCCATTACCCAGTGAAGCAGGCCTCTGCACTCTGACTGGAACCGAGAGGATTAAAAGTGGAGCCTGGGTGACCAGTCCTCGTCTACTGGGCAGGACCCTGGGCAGGGAGGCAGGAGATCAGGTGGTCTCCAGGCTACTCAGTCTCAGGCACCCTGCCCTTTACTAAGCCTCCATCTGCATTTAGCAGCTCTGGGCTCCTGGACAGGCTAGTTAGCCTCTGGACCTCAGTTTCCTCTTTTGCAAAGTGGAGATAAAACTGGTTTTCCTTTAGAGGAGTTAATTGCACCCAGGAGGTGCTATAAGGACTGAAAATGAAGCCTTTAAATTTTGAAAACAGCCTGGCACATGGCCAGCACTAAATACATGTCACTTGTTATCACTGTTATTACTGATGAGCACTCTTGGTGCAAATATTCTGTCATGCCTGTAGTTGATAGGGAGGAAACGTGTCAGTATCTGGACTCCTACAGACCCATGGAGTTAACTGACTGGTGCTGCCTGCTTCTTTCTACAGGGCGCCCCTTCTCACACGGATTCCTCCAGGGAGAGCTGGGGAGGAGTCAGGGAAGAGTCCCTCCCTCCCTTCCAGGGCAACCTGACCAGGAGGATCATTTATCTTTATTGCAAAAAGACATCATATTGTCCTGAGAGTCCACCCTGCCTTGTGGTTTCAGCAAAGAGCACCCCTTTTAAATGTGTGGGGTTATGTCCATTTGATCAGCCAGGAGTTGGGGCAGGAGGGCCTATTTTTAGTGGACAGATAAGACCAGGTTGTAGAGAGTGGGAATATGCCCATGTCTCCTCTCTGTGCCTAGACGGGGTCTTTAGAACATCCTGTGGGAGCCCTTTCCTCATGGTGCACAACGAGGCAAATCCTGGGTTACAAGTTCTGTCCATAGGCAGCCAGATCACAGGAATGCTATGAACGCCCCAAAATGTTCCACTGTCTGAGCTCCTCCTGCAGCCCCAGCCCCTGGCTGCTACAATCAGGAACTCAGACTGACATATCTAAGGGCCCATTACCTGAGCCAAGCTGTCTCCCAGGGGCACAGATGGGGCATGCTTCTTAGGCTTTAGTCTCACACCACGTAGGAGCTCTGAACAATGCCACCTCGCAGAAGAGGTTGCCCAGTTAAGATCAAACAGGCAGGTTGCAGCCATGATTGGACCCCGGATCTCTGTGGGTCTAAAGTCCTGCTCTTGACTATGTGGCTCCTAGCCCAGCACAGAGAGCCAAAGCCAAGGACACAGTAGAACCCGCTCCACGAGGGCTCCTTGCTGTCTAAATTGAGCTGTTCTTGAGTCGTCCAGCCACTGCACCATTTGTTCCTTGCTTGCTGGCAGTATTAAAGGACTCTCTGAGCAGGTTGATTTCCATCTCCCGGTCTCCCCCAGCCACCTTCTCCTCTGGGGTCCTTCTGGGGCCTAACCTAAATTCTCCCTCTAGATCAAAGTCAAGCAGCATTGTCTACTGATGTCCCAGCACAGTGCTGGACCCTCAGGAAGAAGAGAGGGCTGCACTTGGCACGGCAGAGGCCAGGCACACTCTTGGCTGCGGAAAGGAGAAACAGACCCAAATAATGCTCCCCTCTGCCATGAAAAGGCCTGGGAAAGGAAACACCTAACTCCAGGGGTCCTAAAGGAGGCCAGGAGGTCCCGTGAAGATCAGGAGATAGAGCCTGGGACAAGCCCACAGAGCGCCTTGGGTGTCAGGGAAACACATCCGGATCGGCATCACCACTCACTGAGCGGGCGACCTCAGCACTGACCACCAGCTCTCGCAGCCTCAGTTTCCTTACTTGTAATTGGAGTACCAGCCTAGAAGGGGCCTCCCAGAGGGCGCAGGAAGGCATGCTTGCAAAGTGCTCAGCAGAGGACATGGCCAATGTAAGGACTTAATAAAGCCGCAATTCAGGTGACAGTGACCTTTGTGGCCTATAGCAAAGGTAACCCAATATGGAACTCCCTCAGGGACCTTTTTTTTTTTTTTAAAGCCACAACTCATGCTCTCCCGCTGGGCTCTCTCTAGCTCTAGTTCTTTACTGGTGTTTGCTGCAGGCCGCCAGCCTTGTCTGTACAGAATAATGCTGAGCACAAACCCTGCAGTCTTTGTCAAAGCTCTCTCCTGCCCTCTGGTGGACACAGCATGGTCGTGCCTCTGGGGTACGATTCCAGCCACACTGGGGACTCGTGGGGTCCAAGTGCTCACTGTGAAGCCCTTTCCCAAGGTTCATCTTTCACTCTTCATTTCCGCCACGACAGACGTGGGCTAGAAGTGGAGGCCAAGGCCAGTGAGGGAGAGTCTGCCCCGTGGTCACAGCAAGTCATGAGCACTGAACTCGAGTCTCTGGGTGGCCTTTCTCTTTGGGGAGAGTAGCAGAGCCTAGAAGTGAGAGGGCAGGGAAAGCATTCCTTCTCACTGCACCGGTCCCTGTGTCCTGGGCACTATCCACCTCCAGCTTAGCCTCTGTGACCCTGAGAGAGGGCTTGAGGCAAGAGCTCCGGGTCCAGAAGGCAGGTCGCCGCAGTGTTCTACTGGGAAAGGAGACTCGAGGCTCGGCCACAGGCTCTGGCCTGTGTCCTACCCAGCGTCCCGGCCATGCAGCCCCCTGCCCCAGTCCCCGCCTCTTCTCTTTCCAGATCGCCTCTTAGAGAGCTGACCTGCAGCCCACTTCCTTCCCACATCTGCCATGCACTCCAGGTGAGGGCCAAGACGGCCAGCTTTCAGACTCACCCTGGCCACTGCTGTCGCTCAAGCTCCACAGCTATGAATTTGTGGTCGCTGCTTTTTTTTTTTTTTTTTTTTTTTTTGAGACAGAGTCTCACTAAGTTGCCCAACCTGGCTTTGAATTTACGACTCTCCTGCCTCAGCTTCCTAGCCAGAGTGCTGAGGTTGCAGATGTGAACTGCCACAGGCAGCCTGGATTTTTAAATTTATTTTCACATTACCAGACATCTCTGACCATGTGCCCCTTCTGCAGTTGCTGGTATCTGTGCATGAGCTCCTTCTGTCTTGTGGCAGTCCGGCTAGTTCCCACTCTCCAGGTTTGATTGCCTGCCCTGCCAGCCTCCTCTATCACTGTGGCGACCTTCCTGCCTCAGCCTCTCCTCCTCATTCATCTGCCCTTTGAAGAGACCTCAAGCCAGCACCTGGAGGCCCATGCTCCCTGTCCCGCCCCCAGAGCCAGGCACAGAGTGGCCATTTTGGTGACTGAATAAGTGAGCAAATGAATTAACGGTGGGGACAAACCCTAGGTAGGAATCAGGCCTGTCTGTCCCGCCAGGACCACAAGCTGGTTGACCTTGAATGAAATCTGTTCCCTCCTTGAGCCCTGCAGGTTTTCCTCAGCCCTGGGCGCCTCCTAGGGAGGCGCCTCCTCCTGAATGGGAGGGCCTTCTCCCCACCTGGACATGGCCAGGCCATGGTCACTTCCTCTGGACTCCTGGACTCCAGGATCCTTCCTCCCAGACAGCCAGGAAGGAACACAGAGCCAACCCAAGTCAGCAGGCCTGGCATCCTCAGGCCCAGGGTTAATTTTTACCCAGAAGCTCAAAGTTCAGATGGCCTTGGCAGCTTGTCCCACTCTGTTTGCTCGGGTTAATGATCTTGGGAGCACAAACATCCCCACTCCCCCACCCTCCCCCCACCACCCCCACTATCCCCCCTCAGGAAGAGGCTGTGCACTGAATGCTCAGCTCCAGGCCCCAGTGGTTAGGATGGGAGCTGATTCACCTCTGTGGGTGGCAGCTTTCCAGCAGGCCATGGGGTTGACATCTATGATCCTGCAGCCCCTCAGAGTGGGTCAGGTGAAGGGCTCAGTATACAGGGAAGGCCGGTGGACAGTTCAGGTCTTACCTCCACAAACAAGAGTCTTGCTTGAAAAAAAAAAAAAGAGTCTTGCTTGCTCTCTGGGCGGTCAGAATGGGGACTGCTATCTTCATTTTACAGATTAGGAAAGGGGTTGGGAAGCCACTCTTCAATTACTTAGAACACAGAAATAAAGAGGCTCTGGCTTCCAGTTCTTACTTCACACCACTTTCCTGCTACCACCACCAATCAATCCATAAAAGGCTGGGAAAGTCTGTGAGCCCAGTATCTTACTGTCCCAGAAAGCCAAAGCAAGATGCTACATCTAGTGTGTATCAAGGATTTGAGCTCCCTAGCAGCCAAAGCAAAAAGGAGATGTAATCAGTGCCCACACTGTCCGTTATGGAGCAAAGGAAGCACATTGACTTAGGAACAGACGCACACTTGTTCAGATACCAGTGAAAGGAATGCGTCAATCGGTCTGATTTTATTTATTGAGGTACTGACTATATAAGGGATCCCTCAATTTTCACAGAGCAGGAGGCTTGTTCTTGGACCCACCTTAAAAAAAGGACATCCCAGCCCTGGCAAGGAGGCTGCAGTGTGCACAGAATGTTCCCTGCCAGGAGCCAGGAGGAAGGGAGGACAGTAGCTTTCACTTTGGGTGGAGAAAGTGCCTTCAGGAGACCATGGTATCACAGGACAGAATTCGAGCTCTGGAGACAGACAGATCTGGGTTTTCAAAGATCCTACTTAAAATTTAAGAACTACTCACTAATATATTCATGTCCTTGGGCTGTTATAACAAAGTACCACGAACCAGACAGCTTAACAGAAATGGCTGGGAGTGAGGGGGTGTACCTGTGACCCTAGCACTGGGAGCCTGAAGCAGTAGGGTCACAAATGTATGGCCAGCCTGGGTAACCTAGAGACTCAGCAAGACCCTGACTTACAATAAGAAGAGCCAGAGGTGTTCTGTAGCTCAGCATAGCGTACACACACAGCGGTGTGAGACCCCAGAGGTGCGCTCACAAATGACTAAAAAGTGCTCCCTCTGTCTCAATGACAGAAGCTGCATGTCCAAGACCCAGTTGCCAGCACAGCCCGATTCCCTCTGGGAGCTCTAGGAAAGAATACTCCTCTGAGCCCTGCCAGCTTCCGGTGGCTGCCATCAGGTGGGCAGCCTGTCTCTGCCCCATCTGCACATGGCCATTGTCCCCGCACGTGTGCCCCCCTGGATCTCACTCTCCATCCTCTTATAAAGCCACAGATCATTGGATTTAGGGCCTATGATGAGGATCCCATGATCAGGACCCTAACTCACCTCACCAGCCAGTGAGGGTACATCCTGCAGCATGGGCGGGCATGAATTTTGGAAGGGGTGCCAATCAACCTACCACAGATGCCGTGGTACCACGAGCCCTCTAGGGTGTCACCAGTGCCAATGCCTGCATCCCTGTCCCAGTGTGGAGATCCAGGAGGGTGGTCTCTGGTTACAGATGTGGAAATCAAGGCACTGAGAGGTAGACTGAGTTGCCCAAGGTCACACAGCAGTAGGAGTCCCACAGCCAGCTGCTCAGTCCTGAGTCCCCGTGCTTAACTATTGACAAAGGCTCCCTTTCTTGGCGACCCCACGTCCCTGCTGGGGAACCCTGGCCAGGCACACCACCTCTTGGAGTCCAGTGTCTACCAAGAGAAAGACAGCACTCACTTCTGGAGGAGATTCAGATTTCAATGCAGCCCTGTGACCTGTGCAAATGCTGGGGACAAAACCTGCAGGTAGCAGGTGCCCAGTGAATGGATTCTGTTATATCAATACCACGACCATCACCACTGTCATCATCCTCATCATCACCATCAACGTCAACTCTGTTGTGCTCTGCAAAGTCCTCAGAAGCCGGGGGTCAGAGGAAGCAGGTCAGAGGCAGGAGGCCTGGTTCTAGTCTTGGCTCTGCCCAGAACCCCCAGCAGTGACTGGTAGGTCACTTCCTGTCTCCGGTCCTGTAACAGGACCAATCAGGCTCACACTGCTGGTACTCAGGTGGAGGGGCACTGCAGGAAAGGCCGCAAGTTGCCTCAAATGACTGCTGTGACAGCTGGTCATTCGCAGGGACCCTTCCCGGGGGCTCAGCCCTTCCAAGACAGCCACGCTGGCCTCTGGGCTTCAGGCAGCAACCTGACCCTCACCGGGCTACATGGTCGATCAGAGTGGCCTTGCTGCCCTGATTGGCCCTGGCAGAGCAGAGCAAACACTGAGGTCACCTACAAGCCTCAGGCCCTGTTCCTAGCCTCAGTTCACAGTCGTCCCTGCCAGAGAGGTGGTGGCTGCTGTGTCCCCAGTCCGAGTGCAGAGACACCCAAGACAGAAAATCTGGGAGCCATGTGGGGCGCTGAGGCCCTGCTGTTGCTGCTGGGCAGCTGCCTGGCCATAAGTGTGAATCCTGTGCTGACGCTGCCAGACGACATCCAAGTGCAGGAGAACTTTGACGAGTCCCGGGTAAGCTGGCCGCTCGCGGGGCTGCAGTGTCCAGTGCCCGGGCCTGGCTGGGCACGTCCTGCCTGTCTCACGTCTCGGTCCCTGTCTGGAGCTCTGCAGCTCAGTCCCTCTGGTCGGGATTCTGGGGCTCTCTGAAGCCGCAGTTCTGCCAGTGACTGGTCTGCGGGACTCTCCCTTGACATTGTGCGGCGAACGGCCTCACACTCTGTCCATCCCCATGGATCCCGGGGAAATTTATCCAGCGAGGAAAACTCACTGCAGGAGGGCTTTGTGCTCTCTGCCAGCACCTGGCAGCCCCCCTGGGCTCAGTGTTTAGTGAACTGTGAGGCCCGTCGGCTCCCAGTCTTCATCTTTTAGTGATTCGGCCCTGCCTGCAGCATCCTCCGTTAGCCCACCCTAGCCCCCCAATCTCACGCAGATGCAAACTCAGGGTTACTGGGAAGCAGGACAGAGGTGGATCAAAGGTTGCTGGGATCAAGGGCCATGGGTCAAGGTAGCATCCCGGCCCGGGGTGGGACCCAGCACCATGTGAGTCTGTGCACGTGTGCGTGTGCACGTGAGTGTGAGTGTGTGCATGTGTGGTCCTCAAACTGCCTGCAGCCCCACCTCTCAATGACACAGCCACCTCTGTGTGAGACTCTCGGGCCCTTCCAGAGGTAGCAACAGCAGACTTGCTTTACCTCAGGGACAAGGGAGAGGTGTGTGCAGAAAGGCTGTGGGGAGCAGGTCCCCCTTCGGGAGGTCAGGGGTGCCTGAGGCTTTCTGGCTCCTCTAGCCATGAAGGCCCAGGGGTGCGGCGTAGTGCCATGACCCCTCTTTCTACCACCGAGGGCAGCCTTGAAAGGTGGGGAGTGCCTTGTCACTGAAGGAATGAAAGGCAGGACTGGAACGTTGGGAAGCAGTGGTTGGTGACTTTAGATCATGAGTTTGCCCCTCCTTCACCCCCATCTCGGTGGAACATGGCCACCTGCAGGGCAATCAGAACTCTGCTCACAGCAGCTTACTGAGCCTGCGGGACCCGCAGCCCCACCCCCCACCACAGACATCGCCAGTCAGTTGTGCTGGCACACATCAGTAATCCCTCCTATTTCAAAGGCTGAGGCAGGAAGAGCACAAGTTCAAAGCCAGCCTGGGCCACTTAGTGAAACCCTGCCTCAAACTGATATAAAAATAAGTAAGTGGCTGGGGAGCTGACCCAGTGGTAGAGCAGCCCTGGGTCCAATCCTTATTGTTGTAAGACAAAACAAAACACCATCACCCACCACAAAAGGCTGGTCATTGAGAGAAGCGGGCAGGGGTGTCAACCAAGTCTTCTTCGGGGTCCGAGGCCCATCCAGACATAGCGCTGGTGGCGGCCTCCTAGATGTACGGGAAGTGGTACAGCCTGGCTATCGGCTCCACGTGTCCCTGGCTGAAGAGGATCAAGGACAGGCTGAGCGTGGACACCATGGTGCTGGGCAAGGGGGCCACGGAGGCGCAGATGAGCACCACCCGCACCCACTGGCGGTGAGTAGCGGCAGGAGGGAGCAGGACCCCAGCAGCCCTCCTTGTCCTGCAGAGATGGACTGGCCTCTGAGCACCAGATCTCTCCCCGCGGCCCAGGAAGCGTCCTTTCTTGTCCTGTCTACACTGCAAGTGCCATGTCCCCAGTACTGTGTGCTCTGACCCTGGTCCTGCTCCTATGTAAAGTGGGGTCTCCTGGCCTGGTGTCAGCATTAAATAGAAATATTAAATTTCCAAATTTAAAAAAAGGGAAGAAAAATCAGGGTCCGTAGTGGGGTTAGGTGTTAGCACCAAGGTTTCTACCACAAGTCACCTTTCTGGTTTGTTTGTTCCAGGAGAGGGGTGTGCGAGAGGACCTCGGGGTTTTATGAGAAAACAGACACGGCCGGGAAGTACCTCTACAGCAATCCCAGTGCGTGAGGAAGGAGAGCCGCCCTCCTCCCTGAGCCCAAAACCACCTTCGTCTCCTCAGTTCACTTGCTGTCTGTCCCTCTTTCCTCCACTTAGTTGAGATGTCACTTGCCTTTCTCCAGATGCCTCTTCCTCCTCTTCCCTCCTGTCTCCCACTCCATGTCTCTTTCCCCTCCTCCCCTCATGATGAATCAGGTTCCATCAGTCTTAGGTCTTGCTGGGCCTGGGGCCAACCGATAGACACTTGGGCATGCACTGAACCACTAAATAACGCTCTGGCCAAAAGATTAAGTAGGAGCTGGGGATTTAGCTCAGCAGCATAAGCGCCTGCCTTGCAAGCAGGCAGTCGTGAGTTCAATCCCTGGTACCAATGCAAAGGAAAAAGACAAAAAAAAAAAAGATTATATCACAGCTGACTGTGTGAATGATTGGATGGATGGACTGACAGGTGGATAAATATATGAGTGAGTGAACAAGCGGTGAATATATGTAGAGTAAGTCCCCTCTTTCTGGGAGAAGTGTTTGTAACCGCATTCATTCATAAGCCAAGGAAGAGTCCTACACAGTACATCGGTGAAAGTCTGCAGCTCTAGTGTTTGTAAGCCAAGGGTTACTGTGTGGAGGTAGATAAATGAGGTAGCTAATAGACACCTTGATGGAGTGACACAGGAAAAAAGGAAGAAAAGAGGGAAGGGAGGATAGAAGGAAGGAAGGAACAGAGCAGGGAGGAGGATTTCGAGGGAATTGGTGAGGTGATGGTGAGCGAGGTGATGGTGAGTACATAGTGGATCATCAGAAACCGAAGCGGGTGAACTGACAGCTACACAGAAGGCGCAGATGAATGGGTGAATAGTGGCCGAAGACTTGACGTGTGTGTGAGCAGGTGATGGATCTCAGAGCAACACCTTCTGCCCATGCATCCTGCCTTCATCTCTACGCAGAATGGAACTTAACCATGGAGTCCTATGTGGTCCACACCAACTATGACGAGTATGCCACTGTTCTGACCAAGAAGTTCAGCCGCCACCATGGGCCCACCATTACTGCCAAGCTCTACGGTAAAGGCCGATAGCAAGACGAGCCCCTTGGAATTGCAGGCACGAGGGGAGGGGACCTTTGATTCCAGATAGTAGGGTGGGGAAGAGCAGGGAGTTTTTTGCTCTTTTCTTTCTGACAAAACTCCGGTTAGAGGAAGAGGTAAGTGTTTACACTCCCGGAGGAGGGTGGTGCATCATCTTTATTGAATCTTTAAAATCAGTTCCAGGGCCTCTGGCCCTTGAAAGAGCCAGTGGAGAGAGGCCCATGTGGGGACACAGGACACATGGGAGTTCCTGCATGGGAGCCGAGGGGGAAGCTTCTTCCTGCTTGGGAACCCATCTTCCCACAAGGGCACTGAGATACTAACCAGGGCAGTTGCTTCCAAACTTTGCCTAAATAAAAATCTCCAGGCCAAATCATCTTGGCCTGGCCAGCTCAGGTGCGTGATGGCTTTACGTGTCTCTTCCATCTCCTGCTTTCAGGGCGAGAGCCACAGCTCAGGGACAGCCTCCTGCAGGGGTTCAGGGAGATGGCCCTGAGTGTGGGCATCCCCGAGGACTCCATCTTTACCATGGCCAACAGAGGTAAATGCCATCCCTACCCCACCTTGGGTTTCTGTCCTCTACTACTCCTTCATAATCCCCCGAGGCCAACTCTAGCCCCGTGTCTTTCCTGTAACCCTCGGGGTCAAACAGGGACCACAGTCCTCTCCCTCTTTCTAGAGAATCAGAAAGCCATTGGATCTCCCAGCATACCACGGCAGAGCTAGGACTAGAACTAGCTCCATGTTGGTGCCCATTCATTTCAGGGAGGGCGCATCAGAATCCATAAGAGCCTCTCTGGAGGCCATGGAATGCCGGGAGTGGAGCATAGGCTCCCTGTGTTTTAATTTATGTGGCTTCTGGCTAGTCAAGGTGAACCTCTCAGGGCCTCACTTTCCCGATCTGTAAGATGGGGACAGTAATGGCTCCCCTACCTCCTGCTATGAGGAATCGATGAGATAAAACCATTAAGTATAACAGTCCTGTGCCTGGTAAGTCCTCAATATTAGCTATGGCTCTTCTTGAGATGCTGAGATGCGGCAGGAGAGGGTGGGTGGGTGGTAATGATGGCGCATCTGCAGCCTCCTGTCTTTCCAACGAATGACCTCAAGCAAGCAAAATGGGCAGCGCGCTCGATATCATGAAAGAGATCGAGATCCAGTTTACCTCCAAGCCTGGTCCTCTTATTCATGCCTGTCTACTGTCCTCTGCTCTAGGGGAATGTATTCCTGGGGAGCAGATACCACAGCCCACCCCAGCCCTGGTGAGTATCTCTTCCCCTCCTCCACCCCATCAGCCCCGTCTTCAGTATTCCACGTGCTGGGTTGTTTCCGGCCTTCTGCGCCTGCTGTGTGGGGACAGATCACTGAGGGCTGCGCAGGACTTGAGTGCCAAGGCCAGACTCAGCGCTCAATCTTGGTTCTGCCCCAGAGCTGGTTGCTGCCCTATCTGGACCTCACTTTTCTCATCTTTAAAATGGAATCATTATGTTTGCCTCCTGGGCTTGTGCTAGAATCCAGTAGCATGTCGGAAAAGCTTTTAGGGCTTGAAAGTGCCTAAAAGAAGTAAGACACAAATATGAAATGGCAATATTTAGTAACACATTGTAGTACTCAGGACATGAAAATAAAATCAGTTGATTTCTCTTAAAATCCAAGAACAACTAACTTCTCAGATCAACTTCTGTCCTCAGCAGCTGTCTGAGTTTGCTCCTTTGCCATACTGACTAAGCTTTCTTCATTCTTGTTTCTGTACCTACTTGGAAGTTCTGAACCCTAATTTATTCTACTGATTTGCGTGTGATTTGTATGTCTCTATGTGTGTACCCAATGTGTGTATCTGTACGCACGTGTGTATAGTATATCTGTTTACTTAAAAACACATCTTTGAAAATTGAAAAATAAGAAAAAGTGAGATGAGAATGTCATTCTGACATAGAATCAACACTGCTAACTTATTATATATTTACTCTTGTATTTTTTAAAGAAAAATAACACATGTGCTCATTTAAAGAATTAAACCAGTGCAGGAAATATCAAGATAAATAGAATATTTTTTAAATCCTCAAACTCCCATTATTTGCATAACTTTAGCAATCTTAACAAGACAGACAAAAGGAAGCACGGATGGATGGGTGGACACACTTAGGCTCTTATTAAGCAAGCTTTTGTTACCAATGCTTTCGTTTTCAAAGCACTAATTGTCATTTTACTTAAATTTAAACACAAACCAAAGTGAACTGCTTGAACTTCAAATAAATATTCCCTTTCTACAAGAGACACATGGCTTAGAGGAAAGTAAAGGTTAGAAAAAGATGTTTAAGGGGCTGATGTTGCTATCTGTACATTGAAACAGTATTTATTCTCTCTGTGACTTGAAAGATAACATTAGAACTTTTAAACTTTGTTCCATCTCCTCTTGGTTTTTTCTTCTGCATAGACCAGGTTGACACAATCCCATTCCATTTTGTCCTGATGAAGCCCTCTGTCACTTAAGGCACTGAACGACCAGTCCTCAGCTCTGTCGTTCTGTTGTCAAATTAGCTCTCCTGGTTCTGCATGTTAGTTTTACGCCAGTCTAGTGACCATAACTGGATGATCCATTTCTGACTCATTCATTCCTATTAATGTTGCTCTTTACTGGGTAAAGTTTGAGAGGTAGTCCCTGGGTGTTTTAACCCAACAATCTCGAATGTTCGGGAATGACTGCCTGCTTCCTGCACACTCAGACACCATTTTGATAGGGTGCCATATCTTGGGATCATATTTGTCTCTTGGAACTCCGTGTGTCACTCAATCTTCTCAAGCATGGTGACTGCTGCAAAATGGGACCACCATGACATGTATTTCCTGTCCTCGCAGGCTCTGATACCTGTTTCTTCTGCTCTGATACCTGGGAAGATTTTGTCACGGAAGTCAAGGTCATGCTTGGTGTTCATGTTTCTGTGTAAACATTTCCTGGAACACTGTGTGCTCTTTTCCTGTGTAGATGTCCAACTACAGAGTCCAAGTATATTTCTTGTGTGTTCAGGGAAATTTCTTGCACATTGTGATTAAATTCATCTTCTGTTCCTTTTATGGCGCTTTGCTCATGGGGAACACTCATTCTCTCTACTTAGAGCATCTTTGTCTTTCATATTTACTAGTTTCTCTCCAGTTGATTTTAGCTCTTAAAGCTCTTTCACATTTGTTGGGATTGTCACTTATCTTGCATTTGTAGCCATTTTTAGTCACTCTGCTCTGTGGATAAGTCATTGCATTCTGCTCCTGGCAATTTCTATCTCCATTTTATTTGCTAGCTCCAAATTTTCATTGTTTTAATTCTTTATCTATTTAGGCCTTCACTTCTCATTTTATTCTGTTGTCTTGGAAATTCACCTTTGAGTCCTGAGTCATTTTCTCATCTTGAAACACAATTCCTGACACTCACAATTTAAAGGAGGAGAGACTTATTTTGGCTCATGTTTTCCATTCCTGGTGGGCTGGCTCCAAGGCAGGAAGGGTACAGTAGGAGAGTCTGGAGGAGGAAAGCTACTCACTTCATGGAGACCAGGAAGCAGAGAGAGGAAAGCCAGGAAAGAGACACACTGTCCAGGGCATGCACCCAGTGACCTCTTTCTTCCGACCACATCCCACCTTCAAACAACACACTTACTCTTCAGTAGATTAATCCACCGATGAGTACAGCATCCCCGTGATCCAATCATCTTCCAAAAGCCCAACCTCATGAGCCTTTTGGGAAACATAATAAAGCTATACCTTAACAAGCCCTGTTCTAATAAATGTATGTTCTAATCCAATGATTCTATAGCTTGGAGCCATTGGGAATTGTCTTCCATTCTTCAGTTCTGTTCTCATCGAGTAACACAGGTTGAGTTTTCTGGGGTCAGTATCTGTGAAGGGGAAGGGATGAAAGTGGGAGGGAGAAGTTGTGATGAGGGAGAAGTTGAGATGCAACATAGTCACCATGGCCCAGCCAGCCCTACAAGGACCTTTGCAGCTGGGATGACCCTTTTGAGCTGTCTTAAGATGGTGCACAGGTGCAAGACCATAATTAATATCCTTATGTGGACCAATCTGGGAAGAGCATACCTTGGGTAAAGTGGATTCCTTTAGCTGAGGCTGTCACTAAATAGCCATGTGAGAGCCTTCAGTGACAGAGCAAGTCCACTGCTGAGGGAAAATCTAGTGTGTGACAGTGTCCACCAAGGTCAGGCTCTTGCTTTTGTTTAGGTCATTTATTCACTCATTTCTGAGGTGAGTGTGTAGTGTATGTACTGTTTTACTTTAGCTTGCTTCTGTTTCCTTAGCTTTATCCAAAATTTTTTCTGATAAGGTAAGATGAGGTGACTCTTACTTCTCTGTCCTCTTCCCAAAATAATTTGAGCTTAATTCCTGCACATTTTACTTTAGCATAAGCCGTAGGGTGTTTTGTGTTCATCCACTTTCCTGAAGAGCTGGGGTGAGGTGAAACTCTCCCCCAAGGTGTACTATCCTGGTCCTCACACATTTTTGCTAGTTTCCTGGGGCTGCCCCAACAAGCCCACAAAGCGGAGGGCTAAGCAATAGAAATTCATTGTCTTACAGAGGCTCAAGATATTGATAGTGTTGGGTCCTTTTTAGGGGTCTGAAGGAAAATCTGTGCCTCTGGCAGTCTGCTGACCGTCTTTGGCATTCTGTTGGTATTCCATCTGGCATTCCCTGGTCTGTGGCTGCATCAGCTCAACTCCTGCCTTTATTTCCCAAGTATGCTCTTTGGGGAGCTCTATCCAAATTTCCCCTTTTTACATGTACATTACCTATATGGGACAAAGGCGCATCCTAAAGACCTAATCTTAATTAGTTACATCTGTAACAACCCTATTTCCAAATAAGGTCACATTCTCAGTTACTGGGTATTAAGTCAAATATATGAATTTTGCAAGGAACACAACTTATTCTACTATAATATTCGTTCTTCCTCTGCTGTGTTGCAAAGGATCGCTACACATTCTATGTGAAGTTCATTACATCTGTCTGGGTTGGTGTATTGTACAGCTGCTCCATGATTGTGTAGACATAGAATCTTTACACTCTTTTATTTCCCGAGGGCATTTCACTGCTCTTCTGTCAGGAAAGGAAAGAAATTGGATGTTCTCCAGTTCCTTTTCTCTCTGGAAGTATTGGGGAGAATTAAGAATTTGACTCTACACCAGCTTTGGCAGTTTGTGGACACAGCTAAGAACTGCCCCCTGCAGAACCATTATATACATTCCAGAATGTTCTATTTCTTTCATTGGTTGCCAGTTTTAAGTTTGGCTTTAAATCATGCCCCCTTTCCTTTTTTTGAGTGACACTGATAGAAACTTGGGGGTGTGTTGTTGGAAAAATTGTTTGCTAAATACTAAGGGGAAAAGAACTTGTGAAGATACTTTCTATCATGCCTCTTAGTTCAGATATCAATTTAATCTTCATTTCTTTATCCATATCAGGAATGAAGCAGTAACTAAAGACTCCCCTCGTTAAAGACAGAAATATAGCACATTTCCATTTTTCCTGCTTCTTGCTTCCTGTTTTTAATTCTTTTAAGTTTCCCATATTCTGGATTTTACGGATATTCTTGAAGACCGACATTTAAATCTTTCCACCTTTTGAAAAAGATTTTTTAAATATTTACATTAAATTGCATAACTGCTTTAGTAAATATCTATTGTAACTATGCTTTATTGCCCTTATCATAACTTCTTTGCTATCAAGTCTTTGATTTCTGGCATGTAGAATCTGTTCTCAACTGATAAGAGTATTTCTATAAGTAACTTTTCAAAAAAGAGGCATGAGTGGCAGGCTTCTAGATTCTTGCCTAGCTGAGAATGTTTTTCTGTGGTTGTATCACATGGTCAATAGTGTGAAAGAGTGAGAACTTTTAGGTTATAATCTTTTCTCCCTTCAGCCCTTAGAGATACTGCTCTTGGCATTTTGTCATTAAATCCTGTAATTTGCTCTGAGGATCACCTTCATTCATTTTTCCTGATTTTCTTTTCCCTTATAATTGAGCAACTCAAGTCTTTCTTCAACTCAGAAATGTTTTCTTCTATTAGTTTTATAGTGCTTGTCTCTCCTTCTGGAGTTTCAATCAATTGGATTTATTTTTTGTAGCATCTAAACTGCTGCTTATTATCTCTACTGTGTAGTTAAATTCAATATCTTTTCCATCTCCAATAGTTTTATTTTATAAATATATAAATTATAAATATAATTTAACATATTCATTTCTATCACATCTGAATCCTGTTATATTTATGTGTATCATTTTTAATTTCATTTGTGCTCTAAGTTTTCTTCTACTTCCTACTGTCATCTTGTGGTTTGTGAGAATACTCTCAAGTTTAATCCACTTTTTTTCTGAGAAACTGCATTATTTAACTTATGACTTTTCTCCACTCCTTATCCTCGTCAAAGAAAGCCTACACCTGCTAGCTTGAGAGGAGTCTAGAAGAAATTGGGGGTCCCTAAACATTTCCACAACTTTCAGTTGCATATAAAAAGTAGAAGGGAAGTTTAAGTTTACTATGGTTCTGCTTTTTCAAGTTCCAGGTCACATCTGTGGACAGAAAGGCTGCCTGGTTTCTCTGCTCATCCTTTCTTTAATTTCCCTGAGATTCTGCTTTAGGGGACTCTATACCCAGAAACCCTCTTAACAGATTTGGAGCCTGCTCCCTTCTCCATGCCCCAACACCCACAGCCAGGAATATTAGGCTCAGTCTTGGGATCCCTTAATACTCTCAAAATAGAGCTTTCCTTTGCAAGCAGCTAATGACTTTTCTCCTGAGAATCAGTCATGTAATACACTGTGTAAACAATGCCTTCCCATTTCAAAACTGATATGCTGCTTCTCCTTGATTTCCAACTCTTCGGTAGATTCTTTTCCATTATTATATTCCTTTAGGCATTTCAGTTGGAAGTTGGATATGAAGTTATTTGTATTTCATGGCTTTTATTTTTATTTCAGATTAGAAATCCACCCTATGATCTCTGTTCTGGAATTCAAGTTGATGCTCACGTAAAAATAGTCCATTCACCTGTCTAGTAGCTGCACTCAACCTATACCCCAAATTTTAGAATGTGTGATTGCTGTTTGTATATTCCTGGAGTGCAGCAAGCAGTGGTAGCACGGTCTCTGCAATAACTTATTGTTTCTTCTCTGCAGAGGGCCCGGAGGGCTGTGCTACTGCAGGAAGATGAAGGGTCAGGGGCCGGACAACCAGTGACTGATTTCACCAAGAAAGAAGGTACCGAGAACCTGCCTCTTCACCCAGCTCTGCCATGCTCCAAATAGGATCTCGCCCTAGATGCTTCGCTACTGTGAAAGCTCTGGCTCTCTGCTAGAGTTAAGACTAGGCAGGGAAAAAAGGAAACAAAGTCCTCTGTACTGTGCCAGGGCTGTAGGGGGAGAGTGGAGCATGAAGCATGATCGTGAATTTATGAGCTCTCAGCTCCATGATGAAAAAAAGTGTTGCTGCCCTGTCTGTGTCACTGTGTGACCTCCAAGCCTTGGTTTTCTCATCTATACAGTGGGATAATGGTCTGCTGGGCTGATCTTGGGGCTCTTGTAGGAGTAAAGGGGAAAGAATGTGAGGATACTTTGTGTTGTTCACAGTGTTCATAAATACCTCACTCTCCAACTCACTCAGCCCAAACGAAACCTGTTCAGCCCAGTCCTGTGCCAGCCACTAGGGTCACAGAAACAAACCCCCCTGTCTTCTTAGGCCTTCTGGTCTGGTGGGGAGACATCCAAGGAACAAAGTGGTGAATCCAAGAGAGGGTCAACAGGGGCTGGAGGAGCTCAGAGGATGTGGGGTGCACAGAGCAAAGAGACCTCCTGGACCAAAGGGAATTCACGCTACATCCAGGCATAGGTTTTATGGTAGAAGGCATTCCAAGAACAGGGGACAATGGAACAAAGGCACGGTGGTGGCATCTTCGTGAAGAGGTCAGGCTGCCTGGCTCAGGGCTGGGAAATGTATCATCAGCTACTATTATTATGGATTCTCTGGGCAGATAAATCCAACCTAAGCACATGGAAGGGCTGGGTCACTGGTAAGTCCCCGTGTTATAAAGTAGAATGAGCACTGGTTACAGAGTCCAACACACACGCTTTGGATCTTAGCAGTGTGACCTTGGCCAAGTCACCTCGTCTCTCTGTCAGCTTCTTTCTCTACAGAATGAGTTGGTAATCCTTCCTCTAAGTGCAGAGGTGAAAACTGAAAGGGTCGATGCCTGGTGACAGGTGTACACTAAGTGCTGCTCTTCTGCAGATTCCTGTCAGCTGGGCCACTCGGCAGGTCCCTGCCTGGGGCTATTCAAGAGGTATTTCTACAATGGCTCCTCCATGGCCTGTGAGATCTTCCATTATGGCGGCTGTCTGGGCAATGGCAACAACTTTATCTCAGAGAAGGAGTGTCTGCAGACCTGCAGGACTGTGGGTGAGTACAGTCGCTGCCTCGGCGCACTCTGCACTCTCATGGCCTGTTCTCCCTCTGTGACCCTCTGTGAACAGAGTTAGCAGAGCATGTCCACTGGTAGAATTCCAGGGCTTAAGGTCAGAAGACATGGACCTGGACATGGGTGGCCTGAGGCCCACCACTTCTTTCCTGTTTACCAGTCTGTGAAAGAGGGACCATGTGTTCTAGATGATCAGGGCCTCAGCGATCACAAGCATCACCAATGTCCTGTGTCTCTCTCCACCCACAGCGGCCTGCAATCTCCCCATAGTCCCCGGCCCCTGCCAAGGCTCGGCCCAGCTCTGGGCATTTGACGCCATCAAGGGCAAGTGTGTCCGCTTCACCTACGGGGGCTGCCAAGGCAACGGCAACAAGTTCTACTCTGAGAAGGAGTGCAAGGAGTACTGCGGTGCCCCGGGCGATGGTAGGAGGCCAGGGGGGCATGGGCTGGGCCAAGGGGCTGCCAGGATCCAGCGGGAGAGCCCAGGAGAGGGTGAGTCGGTCTAGACTGTAGCCAGTGAGCAGGCCTCAGCTGTCCATCTGAAATGGGCCAAGCCCAGAACCTTCCCCCAGCTGGAATCAGGCACCTGAGATGCCAGCAAGGTACCAGGAGAGGGCACACAGGGCAGGCTGGAGATTTGGGCAGAGCTGGGTGTCCATTCAGGCTGACCATAAGGGACAAGGGGCAATTTGTGCCTTCAATATCGCTTTCATAAAATGGAACAAAGTGCCGTGGTCACAGAATCAGTATTCAGGTAATGGCAGCTCTGCCAATAATGAAGATAAAGGAATAGCAGTCATTTAAGTTGCCCATGCCTTGATGTTCCCTTTGAAAATGGTACCCATTTTGTGGAACGCCCTTTGGAGAGAAGTCATCCAACAAGTGGCCTGCCCTCTCCGCTGCACTCCCTCATCCTCTGAGTGTCGCCACTCCTGGGCCACTCCCTGAGCCTCTCTGTGTCCACAGGGGATGAGGAGCTGCTGCGATTCTCCAACTGATGGCTGGAAGGTAGCCGGAGTCTGTGCCAGAGCAGGCTGGGCCAAGTGACCTGCGTCCAAATAAAACCAGACTGCTGAAGCTCCAAGTCCTTGCCATTCATTGTCACCCTAAATGTAACATGGTGAGGGGAGGGAAAGGGAAGAAGCTTAGGGGGGTGGGGGCCAGCAGGAGTCCCCAGAAGTAGAAAATGCATGGTGGGAAATGTAATCAAACTACCTGCAGCACATGAAATTAGCTATGCAGTGTGAAACACATCAGTTTGTTATGCCGCGATAGTGTAGGGATTAATCTGTTTTGTTTCAATAAAGGTAGAAAAGAAAGGAAGAAAAAACTCTGAGCACTTGTTTCTGGCAGAGGTTGGACCTGGGACATCAATGACAGAGGGTCAGAAGAAATACTGGTGCCCTAGTGTGCCCAGGTGGCTCAGGGCACACCCACAGTGCCTGGTCATTCCCATCTCCGGCCATACCCAGTTCCTCTCCAGGGTTTTCCTGTGGTTGTTGCCCCATTTCTGCTCCCACCATGGACATGCAATGCTTGGCTCTTTTCTACCTTGTCCTGGAATGCCCTTGCCTAGGAAGGAGACTGTTCACTGGCTTTCCACTGTGTCCAGAACCGCCAGCTGGACCCAGGATGAGACTGGAGGCCCTGACTGGGCTAGCTTCTCCCCACCTGAGAGAGATTAGGTGGGCTGTCCAGGGCACTCAAGGACCAGCTCGGCCTATGAATATGCCAGGAGACTCCAGAGTCCCAAGGCTGCTGCCACTGCTGGGAAGGGATGACGCCCCAGCTTCGTGTGGTTGGAGGTACAAAACTGAAACCAGGGATGGCCCATGCTCTGCATAGTGACCAGCGCTCTAAGTGCCAGTGACCAGTTCAGTCAAGGGCTGGAGACCTGTCAGGAAGGAAGAAGGGAGAGAATTTCATATCTTTTGGATTTGGATATGGAAAACTTTGCACCTCTCTCAGACACATAAAGACCTCCATTGGTCTCATCCAGAGTCCTGTGCTGGGCTGCTGGTTTTCAACAGGGGACTTTCCTTGGGACAGTATCTGCGACCGTGGTTAGGGCTCTCTGGGCAGACATGGGTGGAACAGGAGTTTGAACAGTCTGAAAGAAATGAAACTAGCCAACATTGTCCCATCCATGGGCATCCCCTATCCCTGTCACACATGCTTCTCATACCGGGAACAGGTGAGGATGGCAATTTGAAGGTGCCACTCTGAAACAATATTTTAAAATGACCCAGACTGAAGGACAAGTGCTTAACCACAAAGAACAAGCTATAAGTGCCTCGCCAGCAGGGTAGGATGTTAGACTCCTTGGGTCTTTTTTTTTCCCTATCTTTTTTGAGACAAGGTCTCACCATACAGTTCAGGCTGGCCTTGAGCTCACTTTGTAGCCCAGGCTGGTCTCGAACTTGCAACAATCCTCCCCCAGCCTCCCAGGAGCTGGGATTACAGATGTATACCACCATACCCAGCTCAGGGTCTTTTTTTTTTTTAAATGGGGGACTCGCTATACCATTCAGGCTGGCCTTGAACTCACTATGTAGTTCAGGCTGGCCTCAAACTCTCAGCAGCCCTCCTCCCTAGTGCTGAGATTACAGGTGTGTGTCTGGCTTTCCCAGGGTGTTTTTGAACAGTTCTGAGTTTCTCAACAAGCTGTCAAAACAAACAAACAAAAACAAACTGTGAAAACCTGAGCTTCTATTCTCATGAGAGGTTAAGAGGCATCTTGCAGTGCTGGTCGGGCAAGAGGGCCTGTCCTCTACCAGCCTGGTCCCTGAGACGTTTGCTTCTGTGACACTTATTGTAACTTTTCACTAGAATTTAAAAAATCAACTTCTCTTGACTTCACCCCTCAGTAGGGGGATGGATTCACATGCTCTGTCTCTGTCACAGAAAGTCACGATGCTCCTCTCATTTTATAAGGTACTGGGAGTCATTCTCAGCCTGGTAGTTCCTCCCAGACTCACTCTACTTCCTCACTTGAGTCTCACCTCCATTTTCTTTTAATGGTACAGGCCACATTTCCTACCAAGTATATGAAGGGGCTTAATAAGGAAACACTTCTTTTTTCTCCCTTTGAAAACCACACTGTGGGGCTGGGGATTTAGCTCAGCGGCATAAGCGCCCGCCTTGCAAGCAGGCAGTCGTGAGTTCAATCCCTGGTACCAATAAAAATGGAAAAGACAAAAACAAACAAACAAACAAACAAACAAAAAAAAAAAAAAACCCACACTGTGAGGCCCAGGGGCCAGTCCTTCAGCATTGAACTCTCTAGGGCCACGCCCACCCTGGCCTTACTTGGTTCAAGGGTGTGGGGGAGTCCTTTGGCCCTTCCTTTTTGTTTTAGATGCAGAGTAACTGGCAGCTGGGGATGTCCATGGTCACTCATCACACAGCTCCCAGGAGGGTAGTCTGGAGGGCAGAGGGTGGTGTCAGATGGGCCATTTGGTGATGTTTCCAGATGAACCAAGTAACTTGCCTCTTAAGGGAAAGTTAAGCCCTTACCCCATAGCTGGTTAGAGACTTGGGTGGAGTAGAGGCATGGGTGAGTGGGAGACAGGAAGACACAGGTGGCCTAAAGAGCTGTCACCCTCCCGATCTGTGCCAGCTGCTCTCTTGGGAATTGCCTCTCCTACCACTTGCCTTTGGTTTGTGTCTGTGATGTCTTGGGCTCTGGGCAAGTGCCCTGGGTTGGCCTCTCATAGCTTACCATGGAGAGTGCTGATTTTTGCTTAAGAGTCCTAGATGTCACAGGAATTAGGCAAAAGCCATGGTCACTCCTCCTTGGAAAATGGAGAACACAACAGTCACATGAGGCACACAAACCAACTGCAAGGTCCAAGGTGCTCAAGAGTCACTTGAATGACCATAAGAGCAGGCATACGGAGACGTGTGCCTTTAGCCACTGGGGCTGTGGGACACAGATTAAGCTCATCCCTTCTGCCACCGGGTAAGACCCCTACGGCAGGTGCACAGGGTCATGTCTTGGAGGGCCATGTCCCCCCTCATACATCACTCACTGGCTGAGCTGGGTCTGCAGCTGGAGAGGACCAATGACGCACAGATAAGGAGCCACACCCAACCTCAGTGTCCCTGCCTCACCCAGCTCCTGCCGGCGCCCTGCTAACTGGGTGGCAGAGCCAAACCCCAAACCCAAGGAAAAAACACTGCACACTGCATCTTCCTAAAGGTCATTTTATTGTAAAACCATAAATACAACACTGACATGAACTCATTTAAGCAACTGATCCTCTCTAACTGTTAAAAGGATGTCTTTTTGCCTTGGCATCAACCAACCGGGAAATAATGTGGCGAGAATTCAGGGGGCCGGGGCGGGGGTACAGAATCCTGGGCTGGGGCTTTTGGCGACTTAAGAAACCAGGTGGAACTCTCCTCCCAGAGAATGTCCCACTTGTGGACAAGAACAGACAGGTAAAAACAGCAACATTTAAACAGCTCAGTTTTAAATTTTATTACTTCGTAAGTTTTTTTTTTTTTTTCTGATCCTTTCCTCCATTTGACATCAGTAGAAGTTTTAAACATCATGAAACTGACTTGGCTGTAAATGGAGAAACGGTACCAAAACAAAATGAAACAGCAAACCTGAAGGACACACACAAAACCCTAAATAAACCCTCAAGTTTGGTCTCGGGGGTTCACGTATCAATAAGGACTGCCAACTCAACCCCCATGCAATGTGACTCCTTGTGAACTGCGGGATCCACACCAGCGATCAAGGAGACTGCCAGCAACACCTCTTGTAACACAGCGAGTGTGACACTGGGTGACTTTTTATTTTATTTTTTTTTAAATACAGTACATGGTACACAGGGTCCCAAGATGGCCCTGCATAAACCCCCGTGAAGACTTGAGCCAAGCACTGGCTGTTTATAAAAATATTGTGTTGCTACAAAAGTATAAATTAATGCTACCGGTATTAAGAAATATTAAACACATAAAACTTATAAGGATTAAGAAAAATATTCATTAATACCTGTAGAAAACTCTGGCCTAAAAAAGATATTTTTTTGTGTTTGCTTTTTTGTAAATTTTTTTGTTTTTTTTTTTTTAAGATGACTTGAGTTTCTTGCACTCAAAAGAGAGACACAGTCAGATGTGCCTATGGTATTGCCTAGAATGTCTTAACTACTGAGAAGGGACGAGGGGTGCACGCACGCGGTTAGAGTGGGGGGAAGGCGGGGGGGGGGCAGGGGCACCAAGGCGTTCTCGAGATTTACCTGATGTGAACGAATCACCGACGTGAAGTTGGGGGGGGGGGCGGGAGAAAAAGATAGGATCAGAAAACTGAAAATAATTTACATTTCTTAAAAAATATCTCTGCTTCGGGTGGTTGTACAAAATGATTTCCTGATGCTTGGGCTGTGGGTGGCCCTGCCGCGGGGCTCCCGCTCGCTCCTGGCTGGCGGGGCAGGCCCAGCCCATGCCGGTCCAGGAGCTCGCTTGCTCCTTGGGCAGCCACCCACCCTGGCTGGGCAGCCGGAGGTCCTAGGCAGAGACGTGGAGCCCTTCCTTCCGGCGGGTCTCAGACCCCATGGCCTGTGCCAACCGGGATTTCAGGTGGTGCCACAGAAACCCCAGGCCCCTGAGGTTGCGGACAAGGCTGGGCTGCGCCCCTTTAAGGAACTTTGGTTCGAAGAGTCAAGATGCCCAGGGGCACGCTTGGGTGGGCAGGACCCTGCTGGGCTGTGATGCTAATGCCCGGATGCAGACGGGCAAGTCCTCTTACAGCAGCTGGAGGGGGCGGGGCCTGAAGGTGGCAGACAGTGACCAAGAGCTGCTCCCTGCTTCCAGCGGGAGCAGGTGCCTTCTCATTCAGAAACCACAAGTCTCCTTGGGCAGAAGCCACGGCTCTCCCGACCACGATCTTTAGACCCAAGAGAGGAAGAAAATAAGAACAAAATCCGCCCCCCCTCTGGGAACCCTGCAAAGGGGAGGCCTGCAGGGAAAGGAAAGAGGGAAAACACTGTTTTCATTGGTTCACCATAACTGGCCTAGCAACATTAGCCACAGTGAAGGGCGGCTCCTTCCCGGATCGCCCACCGCCAGCAAGGGGTCGGCCGGCCGGGCAGGGCCCAGAGCCCCCAGCTTCTGTCTGCAGGGCACAGCCTGAGCCTCAAGTGGTTTCTTGGTGCCGTCGGAACTACGGCCTTTCCAGGAGTCCTCTGATACATCCCAGAGACAGTGTCCTTGCCATGCTCCCAAGGCCAGGGCGAATCTCGGAATTTGGTGCAGCTTATGATAGGGTCAAGGAGGCCACCTACCATTATGCCCTTGGCCACTCCTCTTCAAGCACAGCAAGACAACAGTAAGGTCTACCTTGCTGAGCACAGGCTTTTGATTTCCATCTTTGTTCTGGCTTCACTGCAAACCTGGTTACCCTGTGGCCCTAGACAGGACATGCCACACTTCTGACATCTCTCCAGGTGCCCTCTTCAAGGAGTCAAACCCAAGCCCAGGGGAAGCAAGTGTTAGCACGGAACTCCTTAAAGGTAGAGGTTTTGGCTTCACAGTGGAAAATGCCTTGCAGAACTCTTCGGTGTTTCTAGAAAGTGCGAGAGAGAACAGGTCAAAGTGAGGGCTCTCAGCAGGCCAAATGGCTGGTGCCAAAATTCCTTCCTGGGCTTCTGGAGATCCGTGACTTCCCATCCATGCCACTGGCTGCCCTTCTCTCCTTGCCATGAAACCTTGGTGCATTCTTCCTGATGCCAAGCATGAAGCCATCGAGTGGAATATGTGGGGATATGTCCTAACTTGTGATGCGGTAGGTGGCGTTCTGTGCTGGGAACCCACAGGAATGAAGACAGTTTACTCGGGTGGCACTAGTTCCTGGCTTCTAAATGCCACCAGAGGGGGACCTGACCTAAGCATGGGGAACTGTGCTGGGATGCGTGCATCCATCCACAATCAGGATACAGCATCTTCCTGGTAGACCTGAGAGCCCTGGGTTAATGAAAATCTGAGGGATCATTCAAGAGGCTGCAGTTCTTAGCTTGTGCTCTGTTGGTGACCACAGAGAGGGAAAAGCCCTGCTGAGCAGAAAGAAGCATATTTCCTCTTGGGTTGTGGATGTCAAAACAGAGGCTGATTCTGTCCTGGGAATCACATGGCTTGAGGCGAGCTGTCTCCCAAGTCAGCAGGCAACCACCTTTACTTGCAAAGCTAAGACGGAAATAGCCCAACTTCCTAGTCTGCCAGCTCGCAAAGGCCTGTGGTAGAGAGATCTATGGTAGTCACAGAATTGTGTGTCAGATGACAAAATCCTTCTGAAGGGTAAGACTAAGCCAGGCACCAGGAGATGAACTGGAAGAGCCGGTCTCAGTCCTTTGGATGAGCTGGAAATTTGGTAAGGTGGATATTGCTGGAAAAAATGGGGCAGGTAGCTGACCTGTGAGATCTTTGGATTTTGTTAAGCTGCCTGTCACAGCAGGATTTGCACCGTGGGAAGAGCCTATGAGAGAAGGCAGGCTGAGGGGGCACCTGATACAGCCTTTCCAGTTGGTGACACCAGTTTCTGGGGAACCACAGGTGCTAAGAGAGAAATGACTGCCTTCCACTGTGTTAGCATTGTGGACAAGGCAGCTCCCAAGACAGCTTTTTGTGAACCTAACAGCATTTACAGCTAACCTGCAGAGGCAAGCTAAGCCGAAGTACTGAACTCAGCTGCAAAAGAACTGGATTACTGGAGGTGACAACCTAATTCCTAATACTTCCGGTAGGTATGATTCACTCGTTTTCATTCTGGAGCACAAGTATCTCACACAAGAGGAGACTGCTGAGTGCTCTGTGTATCTTGGCACTGCTGCTGGTTTTGCAATTCAATGGTTCAGTAATACCCTGGCCAGCAAAACTAGCTCTGCTTTTACTGATAACCTAAATCGGCAGCTCCTGTCCTTCCCGTGTGGCTGAAAGTGCCACACTGTGATCGTCCCATCTAGCAGTCAAGCACAATTGATAAGAAGCATCTGTCAATCATCAGCAACCCAGAACCCACCTTCCAGAATGTCCAAAGGTCTGATCAGAAAATCTGCCAATGTTTCATATTCTTTAGGAAGCAATATTTGGTTCCTGTCTGGATTCTCCCTGTTCCAGCTCCACTGTGGATGGAGGCTCTTCTAGCTGGTGGTAGTAAGAGTTGGAAATACAGAAGAAATACCTAGAACTTCTTTTCCAGGAGAGGAGCCGGTCTTCGGTTCCTTGGGAGCATGGCTTGCTGAAGCAGTTGTGGAAATGGCCCACTCTGATCCATTTCATAATGTCCAATGCTGCAGGAAGAGCTGGGTTAGTTTCATGAGGTGAAGTGTACAGGCTTGGCCTCCAAAAACAGTGTTCTGGGTCCATGATCACGATGCTTAAGCCTTCTTGAGTTTTAAACCAAGTTTACTCCCATCCTGCCAGGGCCCCAGGAGAGAGGGCTATGGTACAGTGCTTTTTGTAATCGAGGTATCTCACAGTTGAGTAATGCTTTATTACTGGGTGTGTGGGGGGTCCACTTAGCCAACCCCCAGGATGGCAGAAGATGCCTTCGCAAAGAGCGCCAACAATGGTGGTCATTCTCAGCCTGAATCACAGCAATCCCTATCCCACAGCCACAGACACCTGAGGGACAGGGGACCACCAGCTCTTCATTCACTCAAGGGCGGGGTAGGGTGGAGAGGTGATCTTTCTCTCTTGGAGAGAATGTGTTCTTCTCAGCAGAACCTCAGTTGCTCCTGGCTGGGGGATCAGGAGAGGGGCCTAAAGACCCCTGTCACAGCATTGAGTGGAGGGTGTCACCATCAGAACATCAACTATTCAGCCCACAAGGCACCAAACTCAACTGCCATCCTGGCTGGCCATTGGAGGTGCCTCTAGGGACCCCTGAGGGCTGAAGACTGCCTGGATGAACCCTGGGGAGGGAGGAGGGACTGGATGGTGGTGGGGGGTGGCTGTGAATATGGATCAACTCAGGAGCCTTGGGGGTGGGGGATGTGGTGAGGAGCGGAAAGCACTCTGGGAACAGAAGCCAGATGCTCACAGTACCAGACACAGCGAACCAGAACACGGCTCTTCTGCTTACATTCCGAGAACCCCACGTGCTGCCCATATGGCTTCCACCAAACCCCACATCTGAGGAACCCGCAATCCCGCCCCCTCCCTTGGTCTCCAGACAGCACACATCTTGTCCATCTGAGAACAGGAAAACCGGACTGTATGGGGGAGGCTGATAAAAACCTTAGGATACTGAATATACCACTGAGATGAGCTAGTTTACAGTGTGACTTGAGGAACAAAAAGGGCAAGTAAAAACCCACACACTCCAAAACATAAGTTATACACATTCAGTGCCTCCTAGCAGAGTCTAACGCAAATCTGAAAAAATAAAATGAACCCCAAAAAGGTAAAAACTGCCAAAATGTCAGGAAAAACATTGAGTGGAGACAGTTATCTATACTTCTCTGAAAAATGTCTCTTTTTTTTTCCCTCTCTTATATTAAAAAGCAAAATGTCGGCTTTATATTCTTGTCTCTTTTCCTGATTTGGGGAGATAGATAGGTGTGTTTCTAAGGCGGCTGCCTGGGATACCCAAGGGTGATCACAGAGGCAACAGCTCAATGCCCTGAAGGTGAACGAGAAACAAAGTCCAGTGCAGAAACTGTCCATTGGATGCAGTCTGGAGAATCCACGGCAGAGCAGCTGGGGCAGGGGGCGGGCACCGTAGGGGTTGGGGGGAAGGAGGGTGGGGGGCGGCAGGGGTAGAGGACAGGGAACATCAAGTCACTTCAGATCGCAGCTGCCTGAACATGTTAATGTTTCTCCCAATCTGCATACCTGAAAAACGGAGTCTTTAGAGCCCCTTCCCGAGAAAAGGTGAAACTTCTCCCTCTTTCCCAGTCACTTGGCTTTCCTGACACGCCCAGTCCAATGCACACACGCCTTCGTGCAGGCGTGTGCACATGCACCAGGGTCGCGTGTGAGTGCACGTATGTGGAAACTTTTCTGGCTGCACAGATAAGCACAAAGCCTCCACACCCAGGGCACGCACGTTCAGGTGCGTGCACACATGTGGGTGTGGACACACAAGTACACACACACTGAAAAAAAGCACTTAAGTTTCCAGGGGGCATTTAGAATGAGGTCCACAGTGTTTAGAACTTAAATTCCTTTTCTTTGTTTGTGACAGTGTTGTGTTTTTCCAATGTTCTCCTTTTGTTTTGTTGATCTGCTTTCCCAAAGTAAAGCTTTAAAGCATGTTGGATTTCAGAAACATGAGTTTGTTCATGTCTTCTGGACTGAGCAGTCGCCTCCTTTTGATGAGAAGTGCTTGTTCACACATATTTACACAGCCACTTCTTGCCCCCACGGCAGGAACTGCCAGGAGCCAGAAGGCAAGCTTGGCGAGTTTTGTGTGCTTTTGGGTCACGCAGGACCAGTACTGGAAAAGATCTGGGGTGGCCTGGAAAAGGGGCTCCTGCAGGTAGTCATACACTTCGTTCTTCCCCAGGCGATCGTCCTCTTGAGCCGTGGGGTGCTCCCCGGCGGTGGAGCGTGGCTTCTTGGCAGCGGGCTCAAACTCAGCCTCTTCAGCCCAGGACTCTTTCACCTCATTGATGAGCTCACAGACCTTGCCGATGATCTCCTCGTGCTGGTAGGGTGGCACAGGCCGAAGCTTCTGCTGCGGGTCCAGGATCATGGCCACCTTGTGGGCTGGGTGCACCTTGAAGTTCTCCTTGAGCGCCTCCAGGAAGAGGTGGCACAACTTGCTGACAGTGCCCGCGTCATTGGCCTTGGCTGTAAACAGCTTCTCCAGCCGGACATAGGTAGGCAAGACCAGCTGCAGTGTGGGCTGGCTCTCATTGCTCAGCTCGATGACAGCCTGCTTCACAGGTGTGAGGATGGCGGCCAGGTTGCTGAGCAGGTGCTTGTTGAGGCTCTGGATGAGGTTCATCTTCTTGGCTCGGCTGTAGAATTCACAGATCTGCTCATAGCGCTCATGCACCAACAGCAGTGAGTCCGTCACTGAGTTCCAGCAGGGCGGTGGTGACGTCTCCTCCAGAGACCCAAAGGTCTCCTTGGCGAGGCCTGTAGAGCCCGCCAGGTCCTCACACACGTTTAGCAGCTCGATGACCTCGTGCATGCTGCGGGCTTGCAGTGTCCGCTTGCTCAGCACACTCTGCACCACTGAGTTCAAGGCACAGGCTGAGCAGCGAAGGCACATGCCAGCCTTGGAGAAGGCGGACGCGCTTACCCGGCAATCTGTCACGTACACTGTCCTGATCTCCGACATCACGAACTCTGACAGCACGTTTTGCACCCAGTGGTGTACCAGGTCGCCACTGTCCCGAATGTCCGCACCCTTTACGCCCAGCACATAGCTCTTGATGTGGTTCCCCTCAGCCTGGTAGGCTGTGAGGATGTAGCAGGAGTCGGGCCCAACACTCTGAGAGTGGCAGGTGACACCGATGCCCAGGCAGGCATTGCTGCCCAAGGCACACGTCACCTTCACCTTCACCTGGTTGTACATGCGTGGCAGGTGCTTTAGTGCCAGCGTGTTGAAGTTGCCCAAGATCTCAGTGACTGAGAAGGCCCCGTAGCGGGCACCACTGTCTACCAAGGTCTGGGCGAACTTGAGGAACTCCTTCCCGCTGACCACACTCAATGCACCCAGGTCAGCGCACATGACCCGCAGTAGGCGCTCTGCGATGTTTTGCCGCTCCTTCTCAGGGATCATGCTGTTGGGTGTTAAACCACTAGTCGTGGCTGGCAGAGAACACAGAGACACGTGATTAATTCTGGTGTTCAAGACTGAGTGGTCTAGCAGCAACCTAATTTGCTAAGCATCTAGGATTAGGTATGACAAGTGGATTTCATCTTGCACACGAACTGGTGGTGCTGTTTAACACGCAATAGTTACAGAGAAAAAAGTTCTATGATTGATCAGTAATACATGCCAGGGGTATGGAATAGTGACATGCATGCAACGTATTGATCATATGTGCCACTCACTTAGACCTTTGAAGACAATTAATACAAGGATCATCATTAAAATGGGAATCTTTAGTAAAATATATATAGCCAAAGAAATCATGGAAAGGTGGACTCTATTCTGATTCCAATGGTACTTGTGACCACAAAATGTTACCTCCTTTACCTGGGCTTCCTGTCTATCCTGTGTGTTAAGAATTCCTACAAATGAGGTCTTTAGTCTAAGTATGCTTTGGAGACTGTTGTGTGCCACCATGTGTCACCACAGGAGACTCAAGCAGTAGGAATTACAGGGAAGAAACACTGGAGGGAACTGGACAAATCTCTGTGCACACCAGGGCCCAGCCCCACCAAGGAGACCTACTGTTGTTGGCACTGTTCCTCTGGCCCTGAGGTTTCCACTTCTCTTCCACAACAGCAGGTGGTGAGCGGGACTGGTTGGAGGTGATGTTGTTTTCATTGTCAGCTGTGGGCACAAGGGGAAGGGTGTGTTACCTTGAGAGGAAAGAGGCTGGTGACAAACAAGACAAGAACCAGTGTGGGGGGTACAAGTGCAAATGGGACACTTGGGACTCAGGCGTGCATTAATTCCTGGATCTTCCTTACATAACTGTCTTTGCTTACAAAGCCTCATCTTCAACATCAGGGAAAATGGAGACAACCACACTGCCATCAGACAACACCCGGAAGGACTCTGGAGATGACAGAGAAGGAGCTCAGCTTTGTGCCTGAGGCACAGACTCTCAGCTGGTGGCAGCTGCCACATTCTGAGCCCGTGTTGGCATCCCACACGTATACCATCGCGAAGCTGCAGCTCTGAAATGGGGTGGTCAAAAGCACCTCAAGCACCCACTCTTCTTTCAAGTGTGCTTTTTGGCTTTTCAGTACATTTACTAGAAATTTCATAAGATGAACAAAACGAAGCCAAACCTTTTCTTACAAGATACACTGTACTTAATCACCAAAACCCTTTCCTGTAAGACGCAGAAACTGAAGTCCAGCTATTAGAGAACGTTGTCCAAGGCCACAGAGAAAATGGTGCAGGGCTGGGACTCGGACTTCAGTGCATGAGGAGCGTAGCAGAGTGGCTTTCATTGCTATGAAATGCATTTGTCACAGACTGGAGGCTGCTCCACACCTCTAAACTCTCAAGAACAGGACTCAAAAATACAAAGGCCATCTTAAGTAAATATATTGCAGACAAAAGAAATATGGAAAAAAATAATAGGAAAGTGTGACTAGTAGAACAACCAATCAATAGAATCAGACACTGAAGTGACAGATTTGATGGAGTAGTCAATAAAGACCTTAAAAACAGCTGTTGTAGATGTCATAAACATGTTCGCAGATGTGAAGGAAAAAATGAACACCATAAAGAGAAAAACAGAAAATGTAAAAAAAAAAAAATGGTTCAAACCATAATTACCCTGCCCAAGAGGAACTAAAGTGTAAAAAAAAACCCCACCACACATACATATATGAAAGAGTCTGGAAAAAATGAACACAGCATGGAAAATAGCAGGCAGTTTAATACACTCATAAATATAAATATAAAATGGAAATCTGATTTAAAAAAGGAGTGGAACAAAAACAGTATTTGAAGAAACCGTCAAAAATTTTCCAAGTTGGACAAAAAAATAAAACATATTTAAAAAGCTCAATGTGTCCCAAGCAGAATAAATATACATAAAACACCACTAATACACAGCATCACACAGAATCAAACCACAGAAAACAATGAGAAAAAAATAATCTTAATGAAAAGGGGCAATTACATACATATAAACAAAAATAAGCATGATGACAGACTTCTCACTAGAAATTATACAACCTAGACGCAAGAGAATAAAATACCAAAAGAAATACGAAAAGCCTAGAAGTCTATATCCAGTGATAGTATGTTTCATAAATGAAGATGAAATGGACACCTAAAACAAAAAACAAAAATTGGACTTGCACTATGAAAAATATTAAAGAAGTCCTTGAGGTAAGAAAAATGGTTTAAAATAAAAATCTGGAGCTACAGAAAGAAAATTAGACTATTGGAAAAAATTTTGTGTAAAATTTATATATATATATATATATATATATATATATATATATAAATTCTCATTTTATTTACTTTTATAGAGAGAAAAATAATAAAAAAGATACAGAATTTAAAAGCAAGATATTAGGAAATTAACAATGGTTAATATTCTACATATTGTTATCTTCAAAGCAGTTGCTCAAATTACAAGATATAGGTATGCAAAATTGATCCAGATATGCAAAACTGATTGAACAATTCTTTAAAATTACACACTGTTCTTTTCAACGAACTAACAGAAATTAGTACAGGTTATCTTAGCTATCATTTGTATATATTTTCTTTTTTTTTCCTTCCTTTTTTCCTCCTTTCCCCTATCGCAGTTGTTCTTTCTTTTTGAGCAGTTTCTTTCCTTTTCACAGAATCTATTGCACACTTTGGATATTTATTTTTTTCATTTTTTTTTCACTAGGGAAATGATACGATGTTTACATATGGGAGACAGTTATTTCAAGTAAGAATATGGTCTCCACCTATAAAATCTTGAGTTTATTCTCCTTTATAGCTGAGTAGTACTCCATTATATAGAAATACCATATCTTTTTTAATCCATTTCTTGGTTGACAGGCATTTGGGCTGTTTCCAAGATTTAGCTATTACAAATTGTGCTGCTATAAACATTGGTGTTCAGCCATATCACCTTGAATGAGCCCAATCCTGTCTAATCTCAAAAGCTAAGCAGGGTTAGGCCTGGTTAGTACTTGGATGAGAGATCGCCCCATTTTAAATGCAGTTGCTCACTAGAAAACAATTTCAAGAACTATGACAATCATGTAAAAGCATACTGTATACTAAGAGCAACAAGACCAAAAAGGGAAATTAGAAGACTTTGCTGAAAGATTCTCACACAGTATGAAAAGTAGGCTATTATTATTATTATTATTATTATTATTATTATTTGTACTGGGAATCAAATTCAGGACCCTGTGCTTGCCAGGCAGGCATCGTGCCACTGAGATACATCCCCAGATAGGCTAATATTAATTGTAGAAAATCAGTTCAAAATATGTAGTTGAAAACCCAAATAAACTAAATTTAGCAAGAATAAGTTAATATAAAAAAAGTTGTCAATCTAAAATAAGGTAGGGGAATTAGAGAAAAATAGAACAAAGGTAAAAGGAGATGAAGAGCCAACAAGCAGAAAATGGCAGATTTGTCCTCAACAATACCGAGATTCTGACACATGCAGATATCTCAAAACTCCATGGAAAGCTCACAGATTCATTAAGAAAAAACCCCAAAATGACCCAATAGTGTGTTTTTGAGATACGAGTAATAGGATGAACAAAGTACTGTATACCATGCACAGAGTAATAAGAAAGCTGCCTAGGTGGGTAATATTATTTTAGAAAACTAGAGCCTCAAATGAGACACATTAGCAGGGATAATAAGGAGATCTTGTGTGAAGACAGAGAGTCAAATTACCAGGAATGCATAATACTCCTAAATGTGTGTGCAGAGTTTTAAGTCATGTTAAGCAAAAACTAAGAGAAGTCAAACAAAAATAGAGACAAAGGCACAGTTATAACTAGAGATCTCAACTCTACCCTCTCAGTAACTTACTGAGAAAAAGAAAAAACAAAATGAACACTGATCATAAATGAGCAGAGAGGGCAAGATGAAGCAGCCTCATATGCATATAACTGGATTCTCAGAAAAAGAGGGTGAGGCAGGAAATGTCAAAACCATACAAGGTGTGGACTCTGACCATCCAAGAATTAAATTACAAGTCAATACCAAAAAGATGTTTAGAAAAATTATAATTACTGTACACAACAATATCATACTTTTGGGGCTGGGGATTTAGTCAGTGGCATAAGCGCCTGCCTTGCAAGCAGGCAGCCGTGAGTTTGATCCCTGGTACTGATAAAAAGGAAAAAGACAAAAAACAAAACAAAACAAAAAAACAATATCATACTTTTAAGTAACTCATGGGTCACAGAAAAAACCATGAAACTGGGAAAAAGTTTAGAATTTAATGAGAACAAAAACGTTAACATTTCAAAATTTGTAAGGAACATCTGCAAGGTTTCTTTGGGGCCTTAAATATTAGAAAAGAATAAAAAGGCTTAAAATCAACATCACTAGCTTCTACCTTAGGGATGTAAAGTCAGGCATGGTGGCGGCACATACCTGCAGTCCCTGTTGCTTGGGAGGCTGAGGCAGGAAGACCACTTTGGGTCCATGGGTTTGAAAGCAACTTGAAAAATGTATTAAGACCCCATCTTAGAAAGGGGGAGGGTAGAAAGAGACAGAGAGAGAGAGAGACAGACAGACAGACAGACAGAGAGAAAGAGACAGGGACAGAGAGAGGGAGACAGACAGACAGACAGAGAGACAGAGACAGACAAGACAGACAGAAGACAGACAGACAGATGGAAGAGTAAGTTAAGTCTGCAGTAAGGAGAAGAAAGAAACTATAGTAAAACAAATGAAATAAATGTAAAAAAAATTTTAAAAATCAATGCACATAGAAATTGATTCTTTGTAAAAAGAAAAATCAATAAAATTGATAAACATTAGCCAGAGGACACAGATCATTAGTACCAGGAATGAAAGAAGGGCCACTCTTGCAGACGCTGGAGATATTAAAGGAGCTAAAAACTATTATAAGCTTTATACCAATAAATTAAACAACTTTGCTATCTTGAAAGATAGAGTTAAATGCAGAAGAAATAGGTAATCTGAAATAGTCCTACAGTTATTAAATAAAGTGAATTCACAATACAATGAATTCCCTTAGGCTCGTAAGGGTTTATTGGTAAATCTGAATAAACATTTAAAGAAAAAGTAATACAAATTCTTCCAGAAAACAAAAGAAAGGTAAGAACTTCTCTGAATTTGTTTTATGAACTTGTCATTTCCCTGATACAAAATCAGAAAAAAAAAGTTTTTAAAAAAAGAAACTACAGAGCAAAATACCTCATGAAACAATATGTGAAAATTCTGAGCAAAGTGTTACCAAACCTGGGAGTGCGGGTATAATCAGTAATAAGAGGGCTTGCCTGCCATGTGCGAATACCTGGGCCTGACCCGCAGCACCAGAAAAAAGGTTAGCAAACTAACTACAGCAATGCATAACATGTAACCCTGACCACTGATGCACTTTGGGAGGCTGAGGCAAGAGGCCTGAAAGTTAAAGCCCAACCCGGCTGGGGAGGCAGCTCAGTGTGAAGGCCCTGCTTTCAATTCCCGGTAGTGCAAAGCTGAAAAACTCAAATTCCCACATTCTAGTAAATGGAATTTATTGCAGAAATGAAAGTTTGGGTTAATATTGGAAAAATCTGTTGGTTTAATTCCTATGTTGAAACAAAAAATAAGAAAAACCACCTTAGTAAGTGTTACAGGCACATTAAAATGACAAAATTCAAAACTCA